GATCTTGATTTGAAAAATTATTCATTTTCGTTTTCTATTTTTTTTCCAAATTTTTGAAAAAAAAACCTCCAAAAACCCGAAATTTTCCAAAAAGTGAATATTGTCGCCAAAAAAGTTGTTTTCCGTTTTCTGTGTGAAAATGTTTGAGAATATTTTTTCTAGGGTTATTTGCTACATTTTACAAAAAAGTTTGACACTTTAGCTCTTTTTGAAGAAAGTTACAGTCAAAAAACCTGTTGAGTCGACAGTGTCGACGCATTCTTTTTAACCAGTACTGTATATCCGAAAGAACGGACGGTTTGGTCCACGGCAACCTACCCACGGCCCGATCTGCAGCGGACCGTGGTTCTATTTTTGAAATGCTTTGAACCAACTTCCATTAGAATCGAAAACATTCATTTTCCCCTAAAACCTCTGATTTCCAGACCCAAACATCTGGAACACTTCCATCAATGTCCCTCCCAATTCAGTCTGTTGTATCTGCCCTTCGTCATTATCAGAGCACTTGTGTCAATATTATTTTCGATGAAAAATATGCAGAGTCAGTTTAAAAATTTCAGAAAAAAAACAAATGATTGGATAACAATTTTCAGAACAGTCTCCGAGTTCCAAAAAGTCGCCTTGTCCGAGGGAATGTGTGTTGAGGTGGCAATCCATGTCAAGAATTCGAGTAGTACTGTAGCTGAGATGGTTGTGAGAAGGTAGCTTACTATAAATTAGAATGGCTTTTTAAGATTCTCGAAAATCTGAAATTTCTAGAACCTGTTTCTGAAATCCCTTTTTCGAAGATTTTTTTTTGATGTCTTAATATAAAATTTCAGGCTGCTGCTCTCGGAAGCCCGGATTGTTGTGGCATTATTATCAGAAGACACGTGGATTCAGATGACGAAGGCGTTACGATCAGAAATGGTAGTTTTATTTGAGTTGGGATATTTTTGAAAAAGCACATCTTTAGGTAATCGCTGGCCGTTTCGTTTTCATTTCAATGCAAGATCAACGATGGACAACTTCGAGAAGATTTATTGAAAGTTGGCCAACATTTGAGCAACATTTGATATCGGTAATTTCATGAAATCTAGTCTGAAAACTACCTGCTCCAGATTGCTCCAAAAAATCCTATCAACCACGACGAAGAAATCAAGAAACTGACTGAGAACATACCAAACTTGTCTTTACCAAATCTCTGGCTCAAACAATTTTGGTCTTCTGCTTTCAAATGCCACGTGGATAACGAAGATATGGGTGGTTCAAATAGTTTTTCTAGGTTCGTACAATTTCTGAATTCGTGAAACATGATCACTTACAGAGAATGTGCCACTACCCAGAAGTTGAATATTTCTCAAGTGGCTCCAGATGTCGATGTGGCGTCTATTTCTCTGGCAGCCCATTCTATTGGACTCGCATTCCGTTCATTTGTAGATCGAGTCTGTCCAGGAGCTCTTGTGATTTCTTTATCTGACTGTGTTAATGATCCATTCAGTGGATTCCATCAATCAATTCTTGACTTAGATTTCGTTCATCATCTCAGTGACATCCGTATGTTTCTCCTAGATCTTTAAATCTCGAAACTTTAATTTTTCAGCTGTTTCCTTCAACTACAGCACGGGATTCCGTGATATTTCCCTTCGGATCAATCGAGTTCAATTTGTAGAAGATCGTCTTCAATTCTCAGAAATCGGAGTTTTCGATCCAATTCAAAATATCTACAAAGACAGTAGCGACACAGCAACACCTTCAGCACGTGGCAGTTTTCTTCTTATGTCTTCTACTTGTCCGAAATCCACCTGTTCCAAGGAATTGGCAAAGAGCACCATCAAGCAGCAATTACCCTCAATTTTCAAAGCGTTGACAGATGTAGAAATCATGATTTTCACCATATTTTCAGTGCTCTCTGCTCTGACTTGTCTCATGTGTATGTATCTGAGAGTGATATCTGTCAGTGAATACCGTAATCTAACGGCTATAACTTTCCTCGGATTGGCATTCCTTTCTCTCAGTGCACCCGCTTTTATTATTCCTCCAAATGGTATTTCGTGCTCTTTACGAAAACTTCTATTCCCTATTGCTATCAGTATTACGATTGCACCGGTATTTGTGAAAACTGTACTAATCTGGAAATCGATCGGATCATCGAGTAGTTCAGTTCTTATCGCTTGTTGTATTGTTATAATTCAAACAGGTAAGATGAATTACAGAATGTTCGACTCTGGTCGGTTTTTTTTGGTCTTTAGAACTTTTTTATACTTTAAACATTCTAGAAATATCAGAATTCAAAAAAAAAACGAAAATCCGGTAATTTCGGAAATTCAAAAATTGCATTGAATTCAATTCAGATTTTCCAAAGTGACAATATTAGAAATTCAGAAAAAAAAACAATTATTCTCTTTAGTTTTTTGGAGATTTCCAAATTTCTGAATATTCTAAAAATTGTTTCGAATAATCTGAATTTAATAAAGTTTTTGTATTCACGAAATTATTTGATTTTTGGATTTTTTTGTATTTAAGGACCAAAGTAACCGACTAGAGACTATAAGCCGAATTTTTTTTGGAACTTTTTATTTCAGTAATCTCCACGGAATGGTTAATCCTCTCATCTCAATCTGCAACAGAATTTGTTTCATCCCTTCACGGAACAATGTGGAGATGCTCTCCTGGTGATTCCTCTGAAGAGCTTCTGATGCTATCTTGTTGCCTCATTGCTCTCTTATCTCTCCTCTCCTTCATTTTCTCAGTTGCTTCATTGAAACACTCTCAGAGTCTTCAGCACCTCATGATCTCAGTAAGAATTTCTTAATTTATTCTTAACTAATCTGGAATTCAGGTCCTCGCGATCTTCTTCGAAACAGGACTTTATGTTTCTCTTCCCTTGATTCCTTACAAGACGAGAGATTTTGTAATGGCTACGAGTGAGTTTTCGTCCTACCTGAATATTCTAGAAGATCGTTGAATCTTCAGCTATTCTGATCTTCGCTTTCGTCTCTCTTCTTTTGTCACATACTGGAAAAACATCTGCAAAAGAAGAGTCAGAATGCGGTGGAACACTCCAGAAGACGAATGACAATTGGCTCCAGCACGTAGTTCAATCTCCGAAGGACCAGATGGCGTTGGTTCAGAACTATCATACAGCTTCCACGCATCCACAGTCAACAATGCATTATGAAAAGAGATCAGAAGGAACATTGAGAAGAAATACTTCTCTTTATGGAACTGAGGCATACGGTAGGTTGTATTTTACACTTTCACTAATTCCCCACAGCTGAATTTTCAGAGTTATGTCACTCATTAGAAAAATTTAAAAAAATCCTTTTCTAGAAAAACGATCATATTTCAGAGCTACCGACACCTTGAAGAGACGAATCTCTATTTCCAGTACAAAACGACGACACACTCAACTGAAAATCTTTCAATTAAAAAACAGACACATTCCATTATATTTATTGTACACACACTCAAATCATCATGCCAAATAAAGAGTTTCATTAGAAAAAATCAAGTATTCAAAGAAACGAATAGGCGACACCGGCAAATGCAGAAACACTGGAAATCGTGATGATGGCGTAGCGGATCGCTCGATTTTTCCAGCTCATTTCACGCTTGATCTGAAAATCGAAGTTGAAATTTGGATCTGATTTCCTATGCACACCTTGACGGCACACTTGACGTAGACATCAGATGCTTCTTCGAGTTTTTCTGAAATTTAGATTTTTTATAAACTTTCTTCATTCAAATAAAACGAACGGGCTCTTTCAACCAAGTCATCAAGTTTTCCCTGTCTCTCCATGATTTTTTGCACGTTTTCCTTCATGATTGATTTAACCTAGAATTTAAAAAATGTTAATTTTTCTAGAATCTTTTCAAAACCGAACCGTGTTCAATTCACTTCTTGTTCTCATAATCTTCTGCTCGTCCCACCCGATACGGCTCACTGGTGGTAGCGGATCCATTCACTTATTACAGTCTGTTTATTCAGAAAATAATATTTATTTAGTTTTGAATTGAACTTCTTGTTGCTGGATAGTAAATTACATTTTTTGATAAAGTTCACGTTTCAATAAAATGTGGAAAACAAAACAACTTCACTTGAAAAATCCGGAAACGACCTACATAAAACCAACCTGTATTAAGGTCCATCTAATAGAAGGGTCCTCCGAGAGAAGCTTGGAAAATGACAAGGGCCCTTCGAAATTCGTTTAATTGAAATGGTTCTCAGTGAAAAATATTCCGAAATTCCACAATTTCTGAATGAAAATTTACCAGTTTGTTGTCTTTATTTCAGAAAATTGCGTTTTTCCAAAACGGTCTCTTTCCTGTCAGTAATAATTCATTTTCATGGATTAGTTGCTGACTGATGACGTCTTCCGTTTCCCCTTGAATCCCTCTTCTCCTTTCCAAAACAAAACCTTTTCTTTATTTTTGCCTATAATCAATTTTCAACTGTTACTCTCGATTTGTTTGTTACGTCGGCACGGTGCTTGTGGTAACTGTGTGGCGGGAACTGTGCTCTTTACTGCATTTTTGAGTGGCTTTTCGAGTGAAAAAGAAGAAAGAAAAGGGATTGTTGAATCTTCATCTATCTATCTCTAACTCTGCCCGCCAACTCACAAAATACTAAATTTATACAAACTGCCATTGATTGTCTTTTTGATACTTCAAATATCATCTTTTATCTTTTGAATTTTTTTTGTCTAGGTTTTGTAACGGTTCTATGATGTGGCTTGGAAAAAGTTTTTTGGAATGATTTTTTGATTTATCCGTTATTATTGTCAGGCATGTCCGGAATGATCTTTTTTCAATAAACGGAATCCGGAATAAAATAATTTTCTTGGAATCTGGAAAAATAAAAATTTCACGGAATCCCGAATGGAGTTTTTTTTTCTTGAAAAGAGCAATTCGGCATCCGGACGAAAAAAGTACGGAATACGGTAAACCGAGTACGGTATCCGAAAGCCGGACATCTGCAGTGCGCAGAAAAATTCTAAAAACCACATGTAGCTTTTTACTTTTGCACCATGAATAGCGGAAGTTTTGAAAAAAATCGGACCAGAGATTTCTTGCATATTGCTGAAAATCAGGAATGGAAAAATCACTATAATTTTAATCTTCTGTGTGCCACAATCCAAATTTTTGATGAATTGGTTCATAGTTCAACACTTCCTCCAAAAAATAAGGGTCCAGAAATGTCGGAAAAATCCATGTATACAGTACAACTTATATTTTTTTTTTGGTGGACAAGAAGATTGTATAGAGTATTGAAGAATTGGCAGTTGTTGACCTATATTTCTTATATAAAGCATTTCCAGACTATGCTCTAAAGTAGGCTGGCCAAAACGGCGTTTTCTGGCGCCACACGCCGCTTTTAATTTTTGCAGTTCTCAAAGCGGCGTGAATCGCCAGCAAAATTTTTCACAGGCATTAAACGCCAGGTTTTTAAAATATGAATTTTTCAATAGAAAATACTTCATAGAGAAAAGATTGAAAAAGAAAAAAAAACGACAGATGATCCGAAACAGTGAAATGGAATGAAATTGATATTTTTAGTCCTTCGAAATATTTGATTACTTCTGGAATTCTGTTTGAAATTTTGAAAATCTGGTGTCCGAAGCTTTTGAAAAATGCTTTCCGAAATTTCAGAATTTCCGAATTTTAAAGTCTTTGTGTGATTTTGAAAGTTTATGGATTTCATGAAACTGTACACTTTCCTGAAAGTTTTCGAACTTCGAATTTTCAGGATTCAAGAATTTTTGAATTTCCTGGAAATTTCAGTGTTTTCATCGTTTTTCAAAAACTATTTTTGGAGCTTCTGTACTGTCATGCTTTACATTATTGAACGATCAAAAATGTTTTGATTCCTAAATTTTTGAAATTTAAAATGTCAAGATCACTAAACTTCGTAGTTTTTTGAAACCTTTCTGAAGTCCCGAAAATCAAAGTTTACAACTTTAAATTCTAAAAAGCTAAACAACTACTTTTGAACTAAACCTCGATCCAGACATAATGGTGAATCAAAAGGTATTGGTGAATCAAAAGGTAAATTCTATTCTCAAAAAGAAAGCGGCGTTTGACGCCGGTTTAAATTTTAAACAGGCATATATTGCCTGCTTAGAAATTTCGCTGGCTTTTAATGTAAATCACGTGAAATTGAAAGGCCCATAGCTTTGGCACTGGCGGCCAGCAACAACCCTACTTCAAAGTAATTTTCCACAGGGTTTTTTTCAGTGAGGTATAATGTTACGCTTTATTGAGAAAATGACGTGGCGATGTTTTAGGCCTTTGAAAATTCAAATTTCTCGAAATATTTAGTAGATTTCCCACCGCAAAATTAATTTTTCACGGGCCTAAAACTTTGCCACGTCACCTCTCATTAAAGTGCATTTGCATGCCTAGCTGGAAAAAACACTGTTATTTTCGCTCTGGCGCTAATATTAACAATTCAAGTAGTCTTCTCTTGCGAAGATGAGAGACAGATGCAACCATCTACAGAGTTTAAACATAGCTTCTCAACTGAAACTTTTTCTTGAAAGTGTAAAACTGTTTTATGACTTAATTGACTATGAGTTCTTTCAAAAACTGGAACCCCTGTCTCGTTAGTTTGACAGCAATCACCTTGGTTCCTATTCGGGCGTCGTCGGCAACTTCTAGTTAATCAGATTTCGAATGTGACTGAAGAGGACCAAACTTTGACAGACTTATGACAAGGTACCTAGTAGTATTTCAACTTTCTATTATACTTTCTACCAAAACCTGACAATAGCCCTCTGTACAGCCGTTTTTAGGCAAGTTCCTACCAGAACATGGCGAGTTTTCCTCTTAAAAGCCGAACCCCTCAAAAGAAAATTTCAATACCCGAGGATTAGTTTAGAACAAATGTTCCTCAAGATTATTCCCGTTTCCTTATTTTATACTGACTCAAACGAAAATCTAGGCTCAGAAAATTTGGAATTCGCAGTAACTCAATCTGCAGTCAATTCGATTTGACAGATTTTCTGCGTTTTCTGAAATGATACATCTCCAGAACGCAACCAAAAGCTAGACTTTATTATTTTTGGAAATTCGATACCGTAATTTAATCTGCCTCTAATCCTTTAATAATTGGAACCACTTGTCACTCAATTACTTCCATTTACCAGCACATTTTGCCTCTTGCTCCTCGAAGTACACCTGTTCGTTTCATCTCTCAGTCTCCACATCCAGATTCTATCCCTCTTTTTCTCCCTAATCCATCCCAGATATCCGTAATCTCTGCTTCTCCCCACGTTCAACACTATTCACCATTCTTCCCAGTGTACAAGCTCATTACTTCTTTGCTCCGGCGGCCCTCCACAGCTTCTCCCCTTCTTCTTCTATTTTTCTCCTTCTTCTCTTCGTCCCATCGATTTCGGCGCCAAGCTCCAGAGAAAAAGAGAGTGAGAAGTGAAAAGAGAGGATCCAGAGAAAGGCTTTTCTCTTCTTTTTCTCGTAACGAATCCCTCCGTTTTGCAGGACTCTTTCGTTTTCTCTCTCCCCAGACTCTTTTGTTTTAGAAGTCCATGACTACACCGTGTGTATATTCTGACGTTTCCCTTATTTTTTTCATTTCCCCTTTACCATCTGGTTTTGTTTTTTCTCTCCAACAGAAACCCTTTTCCTTATTTTTTCAAAAAACCATTTATCACATTGTTCATTCAACTCAGATGTTCTTAAACTATCAAAATTTCAAACTTTCAGACCTTCTTCTGAGCAAAAAAATCATTAGAATAGTGGAGAGTCTGGACCCAAAACAACGCTACGATGGATGTTTGAATCGGACGATAAGAGAGAAATAGGAAGAGAATGCGAGCAGTCCATCTACTCCTCGTGCTCGCAATTTATATCACAAGAACTAGAAGTTTTAATAAAGAAAGGTAAGTAAAGATTTAGAATAATCCAAAAAATCCAAACCCACCTTTTTTCAGTATAAAAGAATGTGCACAAGTGTTAAGTGAGCATATGAAAGAGACGTTCTCAAAAATATCACACGAGACGATACTCAAACAAAATTATGAAAAACTTGTGGAAGAAGAGCAGTTTGATCCGAGAGCTGAACTGAAACGGAGTAAACATCGGATTGAAGATTATCTGAAAGTGCGATCACAGTTTGCATATGTGAGTTTATAATTTTCTGAAGATAAAAATAATTTCAATATTTTCAGAAAGCTAAAATCTCTCTGGAAGCAAGATCAGTGAAAAATGATACGAGTGTTAATGATCCACAATCAAAATCATTCATTCGGTTTATGTCTGCTAAGCAAGGTAAGTTCTCCTTTTTTGAAGCTGGAAATATTAGGAAACGATGGAACAAATATTAGGAAACGATGGAACAACAATATACGAATCGAATCATTTGGGGAAGAAGCTGAAAGTGAACGAGACAAAAAGTTTCAATTTGACCCAGAATGCAAACTTCTACACGTTGCCGACATCTTCTGTGTCTTCTGCGGTGCATATTCCAACTCCGCTATACGACAGGAGTGAGAATTTTATTAACTTTGATTATTTTTTGTAATTATTGAAAATATTTTCAGACGAAGAGCTTCTTCGAAAAATCGACTGGTCCGACATTGACGCCGTTTACCGAACGAATCGAGAGGAAACGAAAGATCTTGCATTTCAATTGTTTTGTTCTGAAGCCGGATACATGAGATATTATCCAGCTGCATCGTGGTTTTGGGATAATCAAGATGAGCATTTGGATCTTTTTGATTGTCGAAACACGGAATGGTACATCAATTCAGCTACTAATTCGAAAAATGTTTTGATTATGTTGGATATGTCTGGTATGTTGTTTTTGAACAGCAATTGTAAAATTGAAGAATTCAGGATCGATGCTCGGTCAGAGATATGAAGTGGCAAAACAGACAACGGAAGCAATTTTGGAGACATTGTCCCATAACGATTATTTCAATATTATGACGGTGAGATTTTAAATCTTTTCAAAATTTTAAAAAACTTGTAAAACATGTAATAAAAATGTCCCTAACTTTTGACTTTAAGCCAATTTATCTCGGTTCCTATGAAAGATATCAAGAAGTTGTCAATTGACAAAATATTTATTTATCAAGTTAAACATTGTATTAGTTGACAAAATGGTGATATCTTTCACAGGAACCGAGAAATGTAGGCTCAAAGTTGACGGGATTGGAACAATGGTATCCAAGAAAGAAAAATCAAATCAGATTTTTCCTTACAAAAAGAGAAAAAATATATAACTTAAAATTTACTATTAACATTACAGATACTTTAAAACCTGTAATAGAAGGGCACCCACAGTGTCAAGTTGGAGCTAATTTATCTTCAGTCCTATGCAAAATATAGAAAAGTGGTTACTTAACAAAATACTTTTGAAGTTATGATAAAGATTTTGTTAGTTGACCACTTTGTGATATCTCTTACAAAAAATAAGATATATGGGCCAACGTTGGTTTCTATTACAGAAAACATGGTATTACAGATATGAGTTACTTCATTATGCTCGCACTTTCTTTGAATCATCATGTCCGAATCCTCAAAAATTTTTCCCGTCTGATTCCTCTCCCGTTGATAATTTTCCCTTTTAGTTTTCGAAAAACACATTCCTTCTCGATGGCTGTAATGGTACAAATGGTCTGCTCCAAGCAACAATGCGTAACAAAAAAGCTCTTCGCCGGAAAATGGATACGTATCAAAGTGAAGGAAAAGCCGAATACGAGAAGGCGCTTCCGTTGGCATTCAGTGTTCTTCTTGACGTGAGTCATACATGTCATTTTGCCATCAATTTAGATGACATTAGAAAAAAGAGAGAAAACAGGAAACATTCCAAAGACCTCCTCCAAATTGGCTTTTAATGTGCTTCATGTGCTGCCTTGAGCCGCTTTCTCGGGCGGTCCTTGCTTACTAATTTGATGCTTTAATTGTCTTACCAGTCCAGTTGGCTTTTGTTTTTATTTGTTGGAAGGGAAACGAAAAGGAAGAGGGAATTATTCTTCTTTGGAGGAGGATGGTATCGAAAGTATGTAGACGATACTCTTTAGAACTTCAGTTGTCCCAAAATATCAAAGTACTAGATTTGTTATGTTCAAGAGCTCAGAGATCATAAGAATACAAAAAAATCATCTAGATCTGTATCCTAAAATCATTTATGTGCTTACTGTAACCTGTGTTGCTTTAAAATTCAATATAACAAAACCTGTCCGCGTCTGGATAACTTTATTGGGTGAGTTCAAGCTTTCTGTGTCAGAACTAGGCATAAGTATTCAATGTCGATATCATTTGCTTTGCACGGCTTTTTGACTCCCGCTTTGTTCAGTTAAAAGGATCCTACGCCCTGTACACGAAAGAAGAGATGTCAATGATGTCAGGAAATGCGACGAACGATTATCAATTCCATCTGGAACTTCCCGAGCACGTTCTCGCCGCTACAAGACAGTATATTGATTCAGTAAGCTTAAGCATGAATCTTTTGTTGCGTCTACACATAGCTGCATGTCCCTCTTGATGTTTCGACTTGTCCTTTTCCTGTGAAGTTCTTGCTCTCCGCTTTCAGATCTTTTCAGCATGATTTCTATCCTCTACAGATTCAAACTGAACTGATTCCAAATCAGCAAATCTTTGATTTCAGATCAATAACGGTGGAGGTGATAACAATCGAGGAGCCTGTGAAAATGTAATCATGTTGATTACTGATGGTGCTCCAAACGCCTATAAGAAGATATTTGATATGTATAACGCCGATAAGAAGGTATTTGTGATCTATAAAAAATGCAAGATAAAACCAAGAGATGGAGTTTAGGTCAGAGTGTTCACTTTCTTAGTTGGAGACGAGGCGATCGATTTCAATGAAGTGAGAGAAATGGCATGTAACAACAGAGGATACATGGTTCATGTAGCGAATATGGCTGATGTTGATGAGAAGATTCATCATTATATCAGAAGGATGTCAAGGGTGGTTGGAAGGCATTATAAGGAATCAGGACAATTGTCATGGTGGACTGGAGTATACAGAGAACGATTGGTTTGTTGATTTCTTGTTCTGGGATCTTTTTTCGGCAGGAAATGTTCTACCGTAATTTATGTCATTTCATAAGAAGGGGTGGCTCAAAATCACCCGGACTGATAAAAGTATATCTTTAGACATAAGTATCTTGAAAGCACGAAAGTTGGAAGAAATATAATTTTACGTTTGGTTCAAAGCCACTGAAATTTTCAAATCGATTGTCCAAAGATGAACAATGCGTCTTGAACGCCGTTTCAGTTTTCATGAGATGAAGCAACTTTGACAAGCGATGACTCAACTCAAAACTAATCAAATAATTTGAAACTTGACCATTTTTCTGATGAATTATTGGAATTTTAGCAGTCCAAAGTTGAGCACAACAGAACTCTTCACTCAAGTTTTATGCTAGCACAAAATTTAGTCCGGTTAATTATGTTAAATTCTGTACATGACTTCATTTCAGTATCTGCCACGTCCCGAAGTTTTTGCTGAACCAGTTCCAATCACCAATCAATCGTTTGCCGTGATGAACAAGATGGCATCTCGTCGAAAAATTCGACTCCAAAAATCAGAAGCCAGAAGTCGAATGTTCGTTACAACAGTTTCTTATCCAGTTATTGTCAATGAAACGTTTATGGGAGTGGCTGCAGTCAACATTCCCCTGACAGAAATAGCCCAAAAATCCCATCCAGCTAATGTAAGATTTCCTTTAAACTTTTCTATGAAAAGTTGACCTAAATTCTTTAGATTGGAGCAAAGAGTTATTTCTTCATGTTGGATCAAAATGGATTTGTGATGACTCATCCGCAACTTCGACCTATTGATCCTGTCACAAAATACCACAAACAAAATTACAATAACATGGATTTATTGGAATTGGAAGTTGGCCAAAATCAGAATGTTCGATCCAGTCAAAAATCTCAAGCCGTGTCTGATTTGGTTTGCGAATCGGGTGCAAACTATGCCGAATGTGTTGACGATTTGAGAAAGGCCGTTAGAAAAATGATAATTGATTGTGATAACAGTGATGTTCAACAATTGGATGTTCTCTATGCAACTGAATTGTTGGATCGAGTGTATCCACAAACGAATACCTACTACGCCGAGTGCATCAATCATGCGAACTTCGTTTTGGGATTGGCTGTGGCTAAAGGAGACGATTATAGGATAATTAAAAAACAGAAGAAATATGATTTCGGAAGAGTCAAAATGGATTGGATGGGAGATAAAAGATGGAAATTGCATCCTCATTGGTGAGTACTGTAGAAAGAATTCATTTCGATGAATCTTCCTTATATATAAAACGCTACACGCGCCTGTCTGTCCTGGTGTCAGGCTGTCCGCTTTCAAAAAGTTATGAGAAATAAATATAGATTTACGTGACCTTTTAAGATAAATGAAAAGCGGAGCGACGCACCAGTAAAAAACTAGGTTGAATCGCGCCGCAGGCGCACCAGCTTTCTGGTTTACCATAAACCCTAATAGAATCCCCTCCTTCTAAAGCGTCAAGTTTAAGCTCAATTATCTCGGTTCTTATTATCTCGGTTGTGCTCAATTATCTCGGTTGTGAAAGATATCAAAAAGTTGTCAACTGACCAAATATTTATCAAAACACCAAACATTTTTTCATTTGACACAATGTTGATATCTTTCACAGGGACAGAGATAAATTTGCTCAAATTTGAAAGTTACGGGTTTATTCTATTACAGTGTTTACGTTCTGTGAATCAAAGCACCGTACTCTAAAATTTTTGATTTCAGGCGATACTGTTTCTTGAACGACACAGACACTCACATGACTAAAGAAGAAGCATTTGAGATTTACGCTCAACAAATGTCCGATTCCGGAAAAGCTCCTCTTCTATGCGAATACAGAAGAAATTTGGTTGAGAAACTACTACTTGATATGGAAGCAACAAGTAATTTGATCGACAGTTGGGACACACAGTATTCATATATGAAGAAGTGAGTTTGATACAAATTAGGTTTTTTTAATTCTGTTTTTTCAGCAATCTGATACATCTTGCGTTCTTCTCCACACCATCCGGAATGATTCGATATTATAACTTGACTCTTCAAGATTATGATTATATTGATCCGTATTGGAGTATCTTTGAACATATTGGACATTTACTATCGTTTGAACATGCACAAGAATCATATAACCATTTCATTACGGATCTGAATCGCAAGTCTACAGATGATCGTTATTACCGCCGTGCTGTTCGAATGAAGGACACAATTATGTTTGATGTTTCGAATAATTCCAAAATTTGGTACAAATCAGAAACCCAGTTAACTGGATACGGACTCAACGAGAATCTGACAATGTTGGGACAAGCATTCAAGGCGATTTATCTCGATAAGGCAGTTTTGGGAGTATCTGGATATGAATTTGCATTTGATCATGTGGTTGACACAATGGCAGAACATGGATGTCCAGCATCTGACGACAGGAAATGGTGTCTTCTGTTGGATGAACATGCCTATGTATTCTTCAGTAATCAAAATGACATTTCATATGAAGATTATTTGGTTGGAAAAGGAAAACACATCAGTCAATACTTCGGAGGATTGAATCGAATTGCACAGAGAGCAATGGCTCTTCTGGTTGAGAATAAATTCTACACCAAATTTACATACACGGACAATCAGGCAGTTTGTAAAGCCGCAAAACAAGTCACACTGTCGGCTGGAAGATTAAGAGTGAGATTTTGAAAAAAGAGTTATGTGATTTGAAAACTAAATAATTCAGCCTTTCTATCATGTATTCCAATTCCTCATGCAAACATTCAATTTCATGGTGCGGTTAGCAAGTCAAGTGTCCGGAGGATATCTAATTTGGCTTCCGAATATACAATTCACGGAAGGTATTGAAAATAACTACCGCAACACCTGTAATAGAGGGGCCACCACATTCTCAAGTTTGAGCTAATTTATCTTGGCTCCTATGCAAGATATCAAAACTGTGCTAACTGACAAAAGACTTCTGATATCATGATAAACAATTTATCAGTTAGCAACTTTTTGATACCGTTTATTTTCCAGCCTACACTGCATCATTCCACGAAGGAACAGATGTCTATCCGTGTCCCAAACAATCATCGTTTTACTTTTCGAACAAAGACGGCAAGAATCGACCTACAAGCACGCATCTTGTCACTGGAAATCGTTCTGAGAGACCGTGCAAGATGAATGCAAAATGTTCTGTGTAATTTCGATTTCCCTCGGTTATCAATCATAAAAATTTGTGATTTTTCAGCAAAATAGAAGCTGCTTTCGTCGACGGAACGAATTTAGTAATGGTGTGGATCACACAAGATAAAGCCAGTGAGAACTGTTACGACGAATCGGAATGTTCAATGGATATTCCGAGTGCGCAGGTTCCATTCGGATTCGAAGAAGTCAAAAACGATGAGTCGTGCGAGAATCTTGAAAAGCGAAAATCGAAAGCGAACGATGTTTGTTATTCGATAGACGATGATGATTCAGAGGTAAGTGTTACTGCTCATAATTCATATTTTTGAGGAATATCTGGTATAAAAAAGGATAAGTGGAAGAGAAACGTCGGGAGATCCCACAAAAGAAAACTATCGTAACCTAGAAATGAGTTTCCGGATTTGTTTTCTCGATTTTCGTGCATTTTAAGTCAATTTTTTTAATGTCAAAATTTTTTTTTTCGACTTGTATGGTAAAAATATCAGAAAGCTCGACGAAAAGCTGTGAGAAAGGGGAAAATAAATCTTAAAAAATGTACATATTTTAGTTTACAGTAGCTGTCGTTGTGAGACCTTCTTCTACAGTACCGATTTCCTGAACCAGAGTTATATAACTATTTCTTGAGATTATCCTCAACACAATGAAGTTTTTCCTTTCAATTTTCTTTTTTTTTCAGAACGAACGTCGTCCATGCTCACTGAGCCCATCATCCCTAGTGTCAATTGTCCCAATTCTAGTCGGTTTCCTCCATTTTTACATGTTCTAAGTGACCTTTCCCTCCAAAAGTGATTCCCAGAGTTTTAGTTTTTTTCTTGGATTTTTCTATGTCTTTGTTTTTATCTTGTCTTCAGTTTTTCTTATTCCAGTGTATCTCAGTTTTGCACAATTTTCAGTTAAAACGGGTTTTTTCTCCTCTGATGTATGTCAATAATAAGCTAATAAAGCTTTATCTATGCTCTTATTTCTTTATTTGGTTGGATATGAAACAGAACATTCTAGTTAACATTTTGAACAATTAGATGGAGATGATTCTGATATTTTGAAAGAGAAAAAAAATGTGGAAGAGAAAAAATGCACGAAAATGACATGAATCACAGTGGCAACAAGAAGAGAAGAAGTAGAAAACGCAATACTACATAAAGATTCGGGGCATTCCATCAAAGTTCATGAAACAGTCTGAGGGCTTCTCGAACGATCAAAACGACTTTGACGTTCTCCTGGATTTCTGTATGGAGTACGGCGTTGTCGTGGATTGTTGTATCGCCAAGTGTCGCTTCTCAGAGTCCCAGTTTGAAGATCTTTTTGATAGTTGGCTCTCTGAAATGTTTTGGGTCACGAAGGCCAACGATTATTATACCTCACCTTAATATCGTCATGCTCAAACCGACATCTATCTCCGTGCAAACATCCTTTTGGTTTCGTTATGTAGTGAATACACGGTCCACGACTCCGTCCATTATAGGAGAACTTCGGTGAAGGTCTATACGATGGCTGAAAACGAAAAATTGAGCAATTGGTGATACAAGTTACAATCTTTTGAATGATATGCTATTCGTTAACAGTGGGAGTTTGTAATAACGAAAAGACGGATTCCTCTTTGAAAAGCCATAGAAGATTTTGTTTATTCGTACATGGGATACTGAACGGAGTGGCAATGATCACGGTTCTGAATTTCAGAAGTTCCATACATCAAGACAGAACAGGTTCACTTTCAGGAGGAACCGTTTTCATATACTTGGAAATGAAATAGAACTGTAACCGCCTAAACAAATATGCTGACTCTGCTTCTCTTTCTTGTGTTTATACGTTTTCCTTGACTATTATAGCTTTTCACCCCAATGAATGCACAGTTTATTATCAATATAGAATAATTGTTCAGTACCATTGGATTGGTATTATCCAAAAATGGTTGTGGTTGTTGCTCCGCCGGGGCCAAGAAACCGCGTTGCTTCAGCTGATTCAACAGATCAAACACTGAACTCGATTGCGGTTTGGCAGGCTCGTTCACTTCTGCGACAAATTCTGGACCGGTCTCGAATACTTGTTCATAAGTATGTTGAGGTTCTGATACTTGAGGAATATCATCAAAATCATTTGTCAAAGGAATATTTGGGACCGGTTTTTGAGCGCGAAGGTTGGCATCAGCTATCAAATTTGGAGGTTCGAATATATCGGATGTTCTGAAAGATGAAATTGAAAGGAATTTCAATATTTTTAATCTCACCCAAACAATGGAGCTCTTGAAATATTATTATCATCCAGTCTTTTCTCCTCGATTTTTCTCATTTCTGATGGTCCTGTGTGCGGCTTTTTAGCGTTTTTAACTGGTAACAAACTCCATTTCACATGATTAACAACATTATCCGGATGGCATATCAGTTTTCCCGATGCGTGTGCATAAAGAGAATGATCGATTGTTGCTGAAAAATCAGTAAATAGGAAGTACTTAGCTGTTTTGAAACTCACCCTCACTGTCTCGGGACGGAAGATAACGATAATCAACAAGAGGTTTTCCTATGTCATCATAAAACCCAACTTTTCTGGGAGTATCTGGCTTTTTGCTTTCTCTTCGTAGAATCTGAAATTTTCAATAATTCATTGCAATTTATTTCGAGGCAACAAAAGAACCCCTGTACTGAACCACACATTGGGATTTTGTAAATTTGGGTTTTAGGAACATATTTTGAAAACAACGACATGTGTTATTCTTATTGTTTATTTTAAAGATACCAATATGAAACAACTTACACTTTTCGGTAACTCAGGAACTTTCCGTTTTCTAATTGTGTACATTTTCCTAAAAAAAAACGAGTGATTCGAATGAGAGGCGGCTACGAGCCAGCAGGGCGCAACGACGAAATAAAAATCAATACGATACGCGAGTCACACGCATTTCCACATTGACACAAAACGTAGGCAGCAACATATTGACACAAATTTTAAAAACATTTATTGACTGCATTCGAAGAAAATGTCTTGAATCTTAAAAACTAATAAATGAATGCATTACAAAAAAAACCTATTTATTTAATAAAACGAGTCAACAAAGTCCTTGTACTCAAGGTGCACATGCTCGGTGAACGTCTCCGTGTGCATCGCAATCTTTCTCATGAAAAACTCCGCCTCTTTTCGTGACATACTCTGTAAAATAAACTGGAGGATTTGGTTATTGTTCTACAATATGATTCATACATCCGAGATTTTTCTGGCATCCAGACTTTTCAGAGCATCTTCAATGGCAGAGTGATCGTCAAGAATGTTTGTAGTCTCGTTCTTCACCATCCAGCGCATATATTCAGTTTTAAGAATACGTCCACTACTGTAAACATGAATCATTGTTTAATTATAAAACTAGGAAAAAATTATCACTTTGTTGGATCCAAGAACTTCATGGTTTCGGAGGTAGCTGTTTCGATGGAGAAATCGTAGCCTTGAGACTTGATGCACAGCTCGAAATGCTCATAATCGAGCCATCCTTTTTTCTCCTGAAAATAACATATAAGTTCTGTAGTTTTGAAGAAGGTTACCCGATCGAAGTACTCAAAGGCTAGCTCAAATTCACGGATCTGCTTTTCCGTCACACCACTGCTGTTTCTTTCTGAAATTGATTGTTCCACCGAACGCAGCATGGAACTCATCAGCTCCAGACAATGACAGGCCTCGACCAAAACTCCGTGTGGTGTTGCAGAGGAAAACTTGTTGGAGAAAATATAACGAGATCCCATTAGGCTTCTCCATTTCTCAAGTTCTCGCACCATTCCACTCCCTTGGACTTTCTCAATCAAATCCATCAGTTTGTCCCGCTGATCGTCCAACTTCATGTTGTGAAGCTGATTAATCTCCTTCTTCACTTCCAAGATCACATTTCGACACATTTGTAGGCAACTCGCGGCATCTTCGCAAATTTTTTCGTTTTCCATGTGTCTGTTGATTTCTCCATCCACAACTCTGACGCGATCAGTAATGGTCTGATCAAGTCTTTCCATACGACTGGCAAGAGATTCATACGAATGCCAAGTGAAGGTACTGACATCCTCGTTCAACTCAGCTAGCTCGACCTCGAGTAGTTCGAGCTCACCGAGAAGCTCAGCTTTGTCGTTTCGGAGAAGTTCGAGAATTCGAATAAGAGTGTGACGACAATCTTCGGATGACTCCTTTGTTTGGAACCACACAACATCAGAAACTTCTTCCTCCGCCTGCTCCAGCCAGTTACCCAATTCACATGCTCTTTTTGAATAGTCATCCTATAAGTAATAGGAGGTTTCTTTTTAGGAAGAAATCAAAAAACCCACTTGAATGCTTTGAATTCGTCTTTTTCGTTGTCCGTCGTTGTCTATTTTCTCAGCTAGAAGTTCCAACTGCTTTTTCAACGAACTCAATCTATCTAACACAGTTGCCAGTTTTCGATCTGCTTCAACTGGATCTGGAAGCTGTCCTGAGATCTGTGTCAGTTTCTCAATGGTTTCATTTGTGTAAGTCTCGACGAAATTAGTGGTTGCATGATAAGCAGCAACTTCGAAATTGCTTGTTGGTTTCTGTTGACGAACGAGATTCGAAATCTTTTCTTCTTGATCACGAATGCAATGATTTGCTGTATCGCATTTCCAAGCAAACTTCGACGAGTCCATAGCTTCCTTGAGTTTACGATACTTCTCTTCCATCATATTCACCACTTCTAACCATTTGACTCGGAGTTTCTCAACAGCATTCTCAGCGGCTTTTGAACGAATAATTTCATCGTTTGTGAATGCTTCCGCGCTTTGCTTCAACGTGTCCATCTGATCACCAATAGTCTTCAATAAACCACATTTACGTTCAACTTCAGCCAGAACTGCGTCTTGTGATCCATTTTTCATAATACAAATTTGGTCAAGAACATGTTCTTTCTCTCGGATCTCATCAATTACCTGCAAACATTTTTGAACGCTTGTAATTACAGAAATCCGACTCACAATGAAATATTCAGCCCATTTTTCCAAGCGATTCGTGCGAATTTTGGCGATCTGGTTATTATTCTCTAACAATTCAGTCAATTGAGCTAATTTCTCGTCAATCTCATCAATTTTGGAATCCAGAGATGGACGACGAGGACCAGACATCAATTCAGTTGTACGGTCCACAATTTTTGACACCTTCTGCTTGCGTCGTTCAGATTCAAGAAGAAGACGCTGATGTTTGCGTCGGATAACTTCAAGAGAAGAAGAATCATGACCGACGTCCGTGGTAGAAACGATAACACTGATTTCTCTGAAAATCAGTAAGAATATTTTCAGAAGAATTGAAGTCTGACTCACTTATACCAGCATATCTCATCATCGATAGACTTCACAATGTCTTGCATGTTTTTCCACACTTCGAGATCTTCGTAATTTGCTTTGATTAGCAATTTGAGTTCGGAAATGCCGGCTTTCAACTTCTCTACAATCTCCTTAGTGTCTCCATCTTGACGTACGCGTCTCAGAAGATCATCTTTCTCTCCGGCTTGCTCGTTGAGTGATTTCAAACGTCGAGACGCTTTTTCTGCATCCACATTATTGTAAAGAGTGGTGAAATTCACAAATGAATGAACTTCTGTTTCAGAGTCCGTCAACCAGTTTCCTATATCATCCAGAAGATCGCGAAGTCGATTTTTCTGAACCTCTTGGGCCAGCGACTTCTGGTGAATCGTTGTCGTTTCTATCAGACTACTCCACATTTCTCGGATAATGTGAACTTTGTCATGTTCTATATGATCGTTGGTTAAGAAGTCTTCGTATACTGGGAGATATTCATTGATTTCCGACGCCAATTTTTCGTATTGTTTTTGACGTCTTTCTATATCACTTGGTTTGTTCTCTGTAGATTTTTCTCCTTCCAACAACTCAGTACGCTCTTCAATCCACTGCTGGATTTTTTCAAATTGCTCGTCGAGCAGCAACTGTGACATTGACTCATTCAGGTCTCTTTCCTTCCTTTTCAGTTCTTCTTCCAGATATCTCCACTCATCGTCCAACCGTTCGAATTTCTCCCCCAACTCGGTGCTTTTGAAGGTGCTAGGCTTATTGCTTTCTTTGAGTTTCTCGAGAAAATCGCGTAGCTCGTCCACCTCTCCGGCACGACTGATCATCATCTTTTCCACTTCGTTCATTTTTCGAATCACTGTTTTCGCATTACACGTTGCAGCATCCAGCTCCAATTTCTCCCTCTTATTAACTGCCCAGTTGAACAGTCGCTCGCAGTTTCGTTCCGCTACTAGAACATGAGAAAACTCGCTGAGCTCATCTTGTTTCGCATCAATCGTTTGTCGAGCCTTCACGAGATCGCTCTCGATATTCGACACTCTTTCCAACCATTCATTTCTTTGGTCTTGATTGGGAATAGTGTTCAAGACCGATGCCAAACCATTCTTGACGTCGTTCAACTGATCAACACGATGTGAAAGCTCCTCTCTGAAAAATAAGATCTGAAATGTTGCCACTTGATTCGAACTCACCTCCAAGTATCAATAGATTCCAATCCAACTTGCACACCCAACGCATCATGAATGTCTCCAATGACAACAATTACTTTCTCGTTGAAAGTGTCTACCCAATGTTCCATATCAAGCAATTCATTTTCCAAATCAGCAAAAAGCTTTCCTCTTTCCATTCGCTTCTTTCGGTTTTCAGCAGCTTTGCTAACATCAGTCCACTCTTTCTCTATACGTTCTTCAAGATCATACACTTGTGGAGCCAAATCAGCGTTTGCAGCTCGAACTTCTTTGGCTTTGTCAAGAGAAGCAACCACTCTGCGTCTCAAAGTCTCTAAATCCCCGTCGAGATTAGGCAGTTCTTGGAAAACTCCATTCTTCCTACTCAAACTTGGATACGAATCGATTCTCTCTTGCGTCTCTTGGATAGCATCGATCACATCTTCGGCCTCTGTTTTTAACTTTTTGAAAAGTGCAGAACGGCTGGCTTTTTGTTTGATTCTATCCACTTCAAACGAGAAAATGTCGAGCATGTCAAATGCATCGTCCACCTTTTGTGTCTGTAATTGTCCACCTCCCATAGCAGAACACTTGATATCAGTCAAATTGGATCTTCTTCTTTGAACATTCGCCATCACATCATCTATTTTCATTGGAAGCTCTTCAGAGTCTGCTGCTAAGCATCTGTTGAGCAAGTTTCCTTCTTCCTCAATCCATCTCTCCATATCACCGATTTCGCGGATGATATCTGCATCCTGAAGCAATGTTCGGAGATTTTCCAGCTTCTTATCCACCATTCTTTTCAAAGCGACATAATCCGACTCGATTTCGCCTTGCTTTCTAGTGAGAGCAGATTTCAGCTTGATGACTTGCTGAGATACCGAATCCTTCGTTTTGGGAGTGACAAGAGCGTCTTCTGAAAATACTGTATGATTATTGTTTCAGATACATGGTGTACAGACCAAGAAGTGCATGATTCTCAACGATTTTCGGTTTATAGCTTTCCACTTCATCGGCCAATGCTTCCAACTTCTTAACCATGACTTTATTGAACGTTTCGTCTTCTTTAGGCTCCATAGCATCAGCATACATCATCTTCTCACCCAACCACTCGGATGTAGTATTAGACTCTTCGTCGTATTCGTAAAGTTTGATCATTCTCTCTAAGATGCCTCCTCTTTCATCAAACATTGCTTTCATACGGCTCCAGTTGTTCTCAATTTCATCCAGAATTGGTTGATGTTCGACAGAAACACTGCCTGTTACTATCTGAAATCTGGAAAATACACAATAAATGAAAAATAAGTAGACCTCGTTTATGTGTTTTCGACGACTTTCGATCTCTTCAGAATCTTTCTCATAGCGGCGATTCATCTTTTGTGCTATGAGCAAGGAATCCCAAATTGGTTCAACGCTGAGCGATCTGATCTTTACTCGAATCCAGTCGTTTTGAGAATGAAGCTCTGACAATCTCTCGGAACTTTTGATACGGTTTTCAGTATCATCAATTTTCTGCAGTACTTGCTCGTTAAAGTTTTCAAGAGCATTCTGAATTCCATCAAGAAGGCACTTCTGTTCATAGTCATCAGTTTCAGTTAGTCCGGCTCGCTTTTTCTCGATAGAATCCTTGTATGCATTTGCGGTAGAAACAAGATGTTTGTTGTTAGCAAGATAACTATGAAGATTTTGATTGTGAGAAGAAAAATCGGTTTCATCGTCGTCTTTCTGGAAAAACAAGAACTATTTCATGGGCTTAATGCTTTTCTAACCCACCAAACTGTCTTCCATCCACTGATGAACTCTTTCTACAAACTTCTCCGTTTTTTTAGCTTCTCTTCTTGCATTACTCTGCTTAGTGAGTCTATCTTGCTCCACTTCAACTTGTTCTAATGTTTTCTTTGCACGAGTCAGTTCATCTTCCGCTTTTATTTTTTCATCGTCATTCAAGTTCAAAACTTGCATTTCGTTCATTAGTGAGTCAACTTGTTCTTTTAGTGGTTGAGTACTATCGCGCTTCTTTCTTCCTTCCTGCAAACTCTGCCAAATCGTCTCGATATGTTTCCTGATATCCCGACAATTCTCAATAATGTGAGCAGCATCGAGGAAATGTTTCAGTTGAGCCGTTCTCTCTTCGGGAGAACTTTCTAGAATACTCTTCATCGTAGACAGTTCTTCTAGCTGTTCGTTTGCGTTACTGCTTAAAAGTGGAAGCTGTTTTCTGTTTTGATCAATCTTGTATTCGATAGTTTCGATTTGTTCAATCACAGATGCACATCGAACGGCTACACCCGTAAGCATTCTGAGCTCTGTTTCTGCGTCTTCCACTTTTAGTACATTGATGTCTTCATTCTTTTGGAGGACAGAGACCAAATGAGAAGCTTTTTGGTGTGTTTGATAAATAAGAATCTCAAGACTGATAGTTTCCATGCGAATCTTCAAGAGTTCATTGCAAGCCTTCGACTCCTCTTTCGTTTGACTATACAGTGACTTGATTTTTTCAACTTCCTTCTCTATGTCTTCATCGGAACCATTTACGAGAAGTTTCTGAAACTCATTGTTAAGGAAACGAAAACATTCAATTAAACAACCTCTGCACTTGCTACGAACTGATCGACAACACTATCCCATGACTTGAAATCAAAGTTATTCGTCTCAATCCACATTGCTATTTCGTCGCAATCCACAGAATCTGACTGTTCCATTACTTGTAGATTTTCAACTTTTTCAGAACACCAGAAACGAATGTTTTCAGCTTCTTTGAGGAGAGTGTCCAACTCAGCAGCAAATTCCAAGTCGGATCTCCATTTCTGGATGTATTTTTGAAACGACTTGAACGTCTTTTCCACTTGCACAACTTGATTCAGAAGCTCGGGATGATTTTGGAAATTCTCATTACTGTTGGGATCAGTCGCTTGTTCTTTGAGATCTTTGATACGTTGCTCAGTACTTTTTATTTCGATATCGATAGTTTTGCGATATTTCATAGCTTCTTCAACGTTCAAATTGGAGTACTTGTCGTGAATTTCTCGTTCCTTGTCTCTCATCCAAATATTCAGATGCTCAGCATTGTCGACAAACTTTTGAAGGCGTTCGTTATCGTCAAGCTCGCGGTGGATGGCATCAACGTATTGTTGGAAATCGTACCAACTATCCCGTACACTTTCAAAGTTCTCAGTATCAATTGATGAAGGTTCCGGAAATTGCTGATAAGTGGCTGAAATCTCATTCCAGATGAATGCGTATTTTCGAATCTCATCAAATATCTGTTTGGAAGGATGTTCGATAGCTTTAGTCTTCGTCATCCAATCCAGAATCGATGAGCATTTTCGTCCGAAATCGATTGATTCCAGTTCTGTCTGAACTTGTAGCTGCTTCAATTTGAGAAGTTGCAATAGGTGCTCCCAGCGAGAGCGGACGTCCGAAATTGTTTTCTGTAATAGAGAACGGGGGAGATAAAAATTTTCGGTCACCGCAGATACATTTTGCAGTGTATTTACGATAGATATACTCACTTGAATATCTTCCGCAGCATAGTGACCATTCTCAAGAAGAGCGTCTGCTTCGCGTTCCAAGGATGGGACGGAATGCCGTTTCCCATCGACTTCGCCACGTAACCTCCCAAGAATCTTTTGGGCACGAGCCAGATGTTCGGGATCGTGCCGAAGATGGATGGATTCGGCGGTTTCAATCAACGAATCAACGATTTGTACGAAGTCACGAGAAGATCTGGAAATATGGATTGAAATTTTCTTCAACATTCGATAATCTACCGAAGAAAGAGCTGGAGCTTGCAGGATTGAAGTAGTAACTCTCGCTTATTAATAGCCTTATTCTCGAAATCGACGAACTTCTGAAGAACATGAACACGACGACCCTAAACTTGAAATTCAGATAGAATTTGAATTCTCTGTTCAAACGAACCGATATTTCACGAACGACTTCTTCGTTCGCAAATTCAGATCTCATATTTAGAGTTTATTAGATAGAAAAACGGTCTGTCTTCCCAGCTTTTGCTTAATTTGGGAGTGTCACACAAATTTTTTCAAAGACAGGCGCCATGTATGTCGTATGTTCTGATGCAAAGCCCGCAACGCTCTTCACGCAAAAACGCACAGATCGCAGCGAGACCTGGAAAATTCGGCATTTTGCAACAACATTGAAACAGAAGTATTTATGCAATAAAGTGGAAAACGAGTCTGCGCTGGGTTTTAGGATAGTATTGATTGCGAGAATTGATTTGAAAATCAACATAAACCTAAATACATTCTGCTTTCTGCGAGGGTTTCGGCTTTCCAAGTTGGTTTTGACCTGGAAGACTGATATTTTAGAAAATATCTGTAAATAAGTTTGTAAGTTTATTAATAATAATAATGAATTTGACGTGAGAATTTTTTTTTTCACCGAGAAAAACTGTTTCGGGATCTAAAAAACGCAGACTAAATATCCTGGGAAAATATAGAAAGCATGGAGGCAAATACAGGTAAAAGGGGTAAAAGAGAAGCAAAATCATATATTATCGAGGTTCTTTCGGGAAGCATTGAAACAGGAGGAAAAATGAAGCATTGAAACAGGAGAAAGAAAGAAGAAAAAGCATCGGAATAAAATTTTAAAATTATAGAAATAAAAAATCACAAAAACTTGAAAGAAAAAATAATAAAAATTTTGAAAGAAAAAATCACAAAAATTAGAATTAATCTTGAGGGAGATAGTTACTAGAGTTCCCTCTCGCGAGCAATGGAGTTCGGCAAGAACGAGAATTCTTGCAAGTCTTGCAAGAAATTTTCGGGACTCGTCTTGGCTTGTCTTGCATAAATGCTTGTCTTGCCTTGCGTTCGCAAATGCTCGCATTGTCTCGTCTTGCAATTTCTCGTTCTCGCAAAAGCTCGCAATTTCTTATTTCACGTGCAAGACTCGCACTTCTTATGCGAGTCTTGCAAGTCTCCCAATTTTTCTCGCATAATACACCTATTTAGGTCAACATTCATGAAAAAGTGTTAACATGAAAAATAAATTCAAAAAAATTCCAAATTTCCAAAAAAACCCTTTTCGCCGATCCACAAAATGACAATTCCACTCTGAAAATGAGAGATTTTGAATGCTTTGAAGCTCTGAATTCGATGAATTCTAAGGTTATGACCCTTATACGCAAAGCCTTTTTCACATAGAATCCAAATTCCGGATTCCGGATTTTCGGATTACCGGTTTACCGGATTTTCGAATTTCTGGTTTTCTGGATTTCTGAAAAACGGATTACCGGATGAATCAAGAAATTCGAATTCCGGAAACCCAGAAATTTGAAATTTGAAAATTCGAGAATCCGGAATTCCGGAAACCTGGAAATCAAGAATCCTGAAATTCTGAAATCCAGACGCCGATAAATCCGACAATCCAGGATTACAGAAATTCGAAAATTCAACATTTTGGAAATTTGGAAATCCGGAAATCCGGGAACCCGAAAATCAAAAATCCTGAAATTTCAGGATTCTTGATTTCCAGGTTTTCGGAATTCCGGATTCTTGAATTTTCGATTTTCGAATTTCTGGATTCATCCGGTAATCTGGTAATCCGGAAATTCAGAAATCCAGAAAACCAGAAATTCGAAAATCTGGTACACCGGTAATCCGGAAATCCGGAATCAGGAATTTGGATTTCATAAAATTAAAAGTCTTTGCGTATAAGGGCCAGAATCTAGAAATTCGTCGCATTCAGAGCTTCAAAACCTTCAAAATCTCTCATTTCCAGAGTGGAATTTTCATTTTGTGGATCGGCGAAAAGGGTTTTTTAGAAATTTGGAATTTTTTTGAATTTATTTTTAACGTTAACACTTTTTCACGAATGTTGACCTAAATAGGTGTATTATGCGAGACAAATTGGGAGACTTGCAAGACTCGCATAAGAAGTGCGAGTCTTGCACGTGAAATAAGAAATTGCGAGCTTTTGCGAGAACGAGAAATTGCAAGACGAGACAATGCGAGCATTTGCGAACGCAAGGCAAGACAAGCATTTATGCAAGACAAGACAAGACCCGTCAAGACGAGACAAAAGCAAGAAATTGCGAGTCATGCAAGAAATTTCTCGCGAGGCGACACTCTAATAGTTACTGTAACGATTGCAATGATTGGAATTTTTGTTTCCAGAGTAACTGAAAAAGTAAATAATTTAAAATCGAAAGGTCTTTGCGGTCAATATCAACTTTTCAAATAAGGTTATCGTAGTCTGAAGTGAGAAAAAAAGGTTGAGACGCAGAGAAAATGTGTCTGCGCCTCCGCCTTACAATTAGAAGTGTTTTTGAAATTTTTCCGCTTCGAGATATCTGTTAAGCTATTAACTGTTAACTGTTTATTTGTCTCCAATCTTACTTCATTCGGTGTTCGAAAGCCCGGATATAACGAGTCCATGGAGAGCTGAATCGGTTCTACTTCTCCATCTGGTCTTGCTCTGTTATCTCTTGATTCGGGTGGTGTCCTGATACTCATATCAACCGGTTCCTTTTCTTTAGGAGCAGTATGCAAGTTGAAAATGTCATTGATCCTGGAAGAGCTTCACTTATGAAAGGCCTCCGTACTTATTCTTCAACAATGAATAAACAAAATACTTTTGGTTGGATCCTCGAGACTAAGGATATCATGAATTATAAGACAAATAAATACACTAAAAATAGAAAAGGCTTACTAACCTTCTGTATTCCACTGACTCATATTTTTGGATTCTCGGAGTGTTACAACAAAGTAGTTTATGGAAGAAAGCATCAACTATCGCTCTACAGATCTCCAGAAAACAAGAATTCCATTACTTCTAGTGATCCTACTAAATTTACAGCTAAAATGACTATAAATAAGCTTCAATGGATAATTCCTAAAATTATGCCTTCCTTGGAGATGCAAAATAAACTTTTGAATGTCTTCGAAAGTAATAAATTAATTCAAATGCCTTTTATATCTCGTCAGTTTGAGAGTTATAATATCCCTAATGGTAATCGTGAATTTACTTGGAAACTTGGAACTAAATATGATAAAATAAAATACCTTGTCATAGCTTTTCAAACTGCTAGAGATAACAATTATCTGAATGCTGCAAAATTCGATAATTGTGGGCTTGAAGAAATTTATGTTGAATTGAATATTGAAAGATATCCATACGAATGTCTGAAGTTTGACTTTGATAAATTTAATGCAGTTCAATAATATAATTTTGCTAGAGAATTTAGAAATAGTTATTATGAATCAATGAAGGATTACATTTTCATGGAAGAAGATGTGTATTATTATTATTATCCACTTTTAGTATTTGATGTATCAAAACAGAATGATAGAATTATTGCATCTCGACCTGATGTTACAATAAAAGCCAGCTTCGCTAAAAACATTGCTCAAAGTACTAAATGTTACTGTCTGATTCTATCAGAAAATATTGTTGAAGTCAAGGATAATAGAGTTAAGGTTGTCAGTGTATGAATTCACAGACACTTGTAGGAAGCTTACTTTCGCTGAATCCGTAGGAGACTCTTGAAATACATCTAGATTATTTTAATAATTGAGTATTTAAAGCCTTTTTTGAGTTTATGATTAAGATCCTCCTCTCTTTAATCCAAGAACTAAACTTATCAGGATATCCATACCATTTAACAAATACTTCTTTTACTTGTTTCTTGTTCTACGTTTCATCACTTTTTCGATTTTATATACTTCACTAGGGTTATTATAAAGTGTAAGTTCTTCTTCATAAAACTTTCCTTTAATTTCCTCATCTGCTAAGTCTTTGATAGAATACATTGGTGGCCCCTTTAGGGAAAGATGAACTTCAGAAATTTTGAATTGTTCAGTACTCCAGTTTGGTAAATAACCTTTATCAAAAATAGCTTTATATTTAGTAATTCTAACGGTATCACCAATTTTGAATTTTGTAGAATTTTCTATTTTATTATTAGATTCACCTTCTAATTTCGAAGGAAATAAGTTATTATACACAATACTTTCATTTTCTATTTTTGAAGCCTGTATTGGAGTCATTTTTATTGAAGTGTGATAATGATTATTATATCCTTTAACAAGGTCATCAAGGATATGAGTCCATTTATGATTTCCTTGATGAGTAAACATTTTCCACATCTTCATAATGTTGAGTAAGTGTCTGTAATTGAATATATTGATAAGATTACTGGCATTACTCAATGATGACATTATAAACAGTTCATTCAAAGTTTGGTTTTTCGCGAGAGAGAGAGAGGGAGAAGTATAGAATAAAGAAGACACTTTTTTTTTCAAAACGTAGACTAAATAGAAACATCGCTAGAGATCGTAGTGAATGTGGTTAAGTGAGAATAGAGAGCAAGCGTACAGATGGAGAATTATACAGTCTGGCACATTGTGATGAATTCATGAATTGTCGCCTTTCCACGTCCTTGAGTATCCGCTTGCTGAATCAGAGCGAATGCTTCTTTGACAGTGATATTAGTAGAAACCGTCTCGCTCCAAGCTACAACAAGCTCCTCGGCAGTGATCTGAATAGCTCTCGTACTTGATCAAACTTTATATGGAACTTTATATAGGAACTCTCAACAAGCCACTTCACATAATTTTCAAGTATACACTTACCACTTTCTCTGGATTATTGTCAATTTTCGAGAGCATCAGTTCCACATCAGCTTTCACGGTGCTCAGCTAAAATTTTTGTAGTTAAGAAAAGCTCTACCTAAAAAAAAGGAAAGCTCTACCTTAATTTTAGAAGTAACCGCTGCAAGAAATTCCTCAAAGTCAATTTGACCGTCTCCACTGACATCGCTCTTCTCATCACAGCTTGAACGACTTTTGGGGAGACGTCGATGCCAAGCTCATTGAGCATTTTAGCTACTTCCGAGGATGAAATAGTTCCCGATCCATCATCATCCATAAGTTGGAAGATTTTGAAGACCTCAAATCAAAAAATGTTTATTTAGGTACTTGGCTTCCCAAGTTTCAAAGTTCTGTTTACGACTTTCGATTGTTTCAAATATAATTCAAGTCACACTTCTTCTGACATGAAGAAACTCTTGTTTACCTTCTCAACTTCTTGCTTCGAGACTTCGTACCGTTTTGCCAACTCATCAATATTCTCACACTTGGCTTTGCATTTGTGCTTTTTGATCAACTTCTTTGCCACTTTATTCTCCATCAAAGCATCCCAAAATTGATTGTCTTTTGCCACAGGCATATTAGAAAAACTCCAAACAGACTTTGGTGACTTCTAGAATTTATATAATTTCATTTTGAAATTTAAATCAAAAGAATTCAGAATTCAGAATTCGAAAGAAAAATAGAAAAATGAAGATGAGTGACCTTCGGGGTTTAGCAAGGATGAATGGAAGAAGCGAAGAAGAGGATAAAGGAGAGAAGAAAAAAAGAATGAAGTCAGGCGAGAAAAATTGAATTTGAATGAGCGCCTAAATCAAACAGGTGGGCGGAGTTTCGGAGCAAGACACATCCACAAATTGGATTCAAAAAACGAAAAAAGGAGGAGCAAAATGGGAGAATAGGAAAAGAAGAAGAAAAAAAGCGAAGAAGGAGAAGGAGACCGGAAACAGGTGTTTTTGTCGAAAATTGGAGATGGGGACTTATCTAGGGTCTGGTAGAAAAAAAATGGGAAAGAAAACAGGAAGTTTGAACCACTAAACTTCAACAACTCTATAGTGTTCGGCGGTTTTGAAGAAGAGTTGTCCACTTTTGAATGTCACTGAATTTCAAAGACAATTGTCTCGAAATTTCGTCCATATGAGCTTCTCGGGAGTTGACCTTGTGTGGCGAAAATTCAAGGTGAAGCGCCAAACCGACTGAGCGACGCTAGAGAAGGGCACGATAGATGTACTCAGAGCGAACACTGAGCATTGTATTGTACACCGTTAGCTCAGAATGCATACGGTAACTCCAAAGAAACTCCGAAAAATCTTCTGTCGCCCTTATTTTAAAGTATCTTTTCTTTATGAAGGAATGAATCATAAAGATACTACAAATGCTTGAGATTGAATTTGAAAAACACGAACAACTATGGATACAAAATGAACTAAAAAATCTTCTTCTTCTTCTCAATTTTGAATTTTGAAAAAGCAGCAACGAACTATGTCAAGAAAACCCAAAGCCTCTATGTAATCTGATATTCTTGAACATGAAAATTTTTACCTGAGTTTCCTGAGATTTCAAAAACTCATGACAAAGAAAACGTTCAGAAGTACAAAAAGTTATTTTTGGAAACTCCGACTACCATTTCAAGAAATTTGAATACCTATTTGCCATGCTCCGCAAGAAGAGCTTGACATCATATGATCGATGGGTCTACGGGAACGTCCGAAAAAAGCTTGATGACATTTTCGGCCGGGGGGATTACGGTAGTTTTCCGTAATTTTGGAAATGTAGGTGTGGCTTGATTTTGAAGCAGAAACAGCTCCCACAGGGTGGCGCCTAATTACCTGGACACAAGTTTGGAAAAGCTAAAACTTTGAGGAAAGCGTTGTACTGGGCTCAAATTTGGAGTGCGGAAATTCCAATAAGTCATTGGTAAACTGTTCAAGTCTCAAATTATTTTATCAAAGTTGCTTCATCTCATGAGAATCATAACGGTGTGCAAGAAACATTAGACCTTTCATCTTTGGACAACCATGACAATACCCAGACTTGAGGAATTGCTTTGAAAAGAATAGAAGCTTTGAATCAAACTTCAAATTATTTTTCTACCAATTTTTGTACTTCCAAGATACTCATGTCTACAGATGTACCCCCTTTTTAAAAGCCCGGGTAATTTTGCGCCACCCTGTAAATGCCAGACAGCTTTAAAAAATAGTCTTCAAAGTATGTTCACACTTGAAGGTCTCTTCTCTCCGACCCTCTCAAAAAACGCTCTTCTTTTCTCAACATCCAGCAAAAACCACTCGCTCCAAAAGTCGCCTAAAAGCTTTTTCATCTATCAATTTATATTCCGTTTCCTTCAAAAAAGGGGACCTCCTCTCTTTTCAAAAAAGTCACGGAATCGTCGAAAGTGTCTGACGGATTTGCATACCAGAAACCACGTTGGCAGGCCATCAAAGTTCGGGTAATTTTCTTTTTTTTCGGCTGGAGACACAACAAAGAAAAAAGACTAAATTGGTCATTTTCGTGAAAGGTAATTGGATTTGTGACAAAAGAAAAAGAAAACAACGAAAAAAATAAGGGGAATAGGGGATGGACAGGTGAATAAGAGTTCGCAGTGGAGGGCTTTTCAGATGTTGTTCCAGATTTTTCCGGTAATGAGAATCATTCCCCTTATTTATATAGTGGAGACGCACTCGTCACTTTCTTGTTAAAATATAAAGTGACGAGAAAAAATTGAAAATATGGAAAAATACCTAGCCGTATCTTGAGTCAGTGTGTCCACAAAGACTACAATAATCCTCATACAAAGTCCTTTTTTTCAAATAACAAGAAACTAAAAACTGAAGTGTAATTTTAAAGGTGGAGAAAACGTATACGGAAATCAGAGATTACTGTAGTTCACAGTAGCGGCCGAAAATTCAAGCGTGGGAGGGGCTTACGTCCGGCATTAAAATCCTTAAAGGCATTTAAAGAAGCATGTGTTTTCGTAATTAGATTCTGGCCTATGTCATCGATTTTTCAATAATTTTCTTTGTTTTAAGAGTTATTCTTGCGATTTTTCAGGATTCTGGGAGAAATATTTGTCAGAAAATACCTACGAAAATACATGCTCCTTTCAATGCTCCTTTAAGGAGTTCGCTACCGGAACTAAGCTCCACCCACCCTCGAATTCTTGCCCGTAATGACCACTTAAATTAGACCACAGGTATATTAGTCCTTTCCTGTCTCATTTGACAATTGAACGATTTATGTCATTCCTCCAAAAAGCAGAAATGCTAAAAATACTTTAGAAGTTCACCTAATTATTCTTAGTATCTCAATTTTCTCATGATTGTTTTTTTTTTTTTGAAGGTTTTGTGAAGTTCAGAAATAGGATACAAAGTCTCGGAGCACAAAGACCGTAGTCCAGATGACGTTAGATGAAAAATATGACTCAAAAGAAACATCTTGAAAACTTTTATAGTATGATTCCAGAAACGAATTACAGAACTACCCTAAATTCTAGAAAACACTTCAAAAAGGAGCTTCTGCCGCTCACCTAGAATCAAACTCTTCAGGGTTCTATAGAACTGACGTTTTGAGGGTACTCTCTTCACGCCCTCGTTCCAAACTCCACCCCCTTTCCCTGCCTCACCCTAGAACTCCGCCCATTTTCAACGAATCTATCCATTGTGAATAAATGCAAAATTTCAAATTATAGAAGAAGAAGATAAAAAGGAAGAAACTATCAATGTCAGGCACTTGAGAAGTGGTAGAATAGGGTGAAAATGTGAGTGGGAGTGGAGTCGACAAGAAGAAAAAGAAGAAGAATTCCGAAGAAAAAATGGAACCAAACAGGGCGGAAAAATGGAGACAGGGAAGAAAAATGTAATTTGGTTCCGGTTCCCTCTTTCGTTTTTTTGCTATAACATCCAACTCCTGGATTGTTTTCAGACATATTTTTTCAGCAGAATCTTCTTTTCTTCCTCTTCCTCCTGAAATCCCAACTACAAAAAGTTGTCTTCGCGCTCGGCACGTCTTCTTTTTCGTTTCCATTCCATTCCAGAATCACATTAATTTTATTTGCGCCACACGAAAATTTGAAAATGTCTTCGCTGAGATGCGTCATCCGTCAACGACGACTCTGTTTGAACCCAATTATGTCTCCCACGAGAGGATACTGTAGTTTTTAGAGACTTTCGTTCTTTTCCGTTTTTTGTTTTTTTTTGTTTTTAAAATATGTCGGGGGGTTGAGGAAAAGAAAAATCGAGTATTTCTCATGTTCGCATCCTTATGCATACATTCAAGTTTGAAATATAGACTTACGAGAAAAAGGGAAAAAGAAACAATGTCTCGAGAGATTTGGGTACATTCTACGGACATTTGCATTGAGTGTGGTTTCTAGAAAAGAGCTAATTTTAAGTTGAACCAAATAGTTTTATTTTTTGAATATGTGATGACAAAATGAAATAAAGATTGTTCGCCTAACTAGGTAGAGTAACAGGCAATAACTTAAAGCCACTAACAGAAGGGATATGATGAAGTATATCCCTTGACAACTTTTTTATATATTTGAGAGAAAAACTGGTTCAAAGTGAAAAAATAGAGGGCCGGAGAAAAATTAAATAGGATCACCTTATTAAGCCTATCCGAAGGACATTTCAATACTTGATATTGATCTAGTGTTATAAAAACTTGCTTCTTCTCATGAAAAACACAGTAAGAAACATTACACCGTTCATCTTTGGACAATCATAACAATACCTAGACTTGAGGAATCGCTTTGAAAACTTCAGTAGCTTTGAATCAAACATAAAATTATGTTTCCAAGAATTTTCATGCTTTCAAGATACTTATGTATGAAGATATACTCGTTTTTTTTTCAGTCGGGTAATTTTGTGTCATCCTGTGTTGCAGAGAAAAGTCTATTTCAAAAAGATCCACACTCTCGTTTCTACCATCAAGACGGAAATTGCATACCCGATTTTTCAGATCATATGTTTGTATTTTGAACTCGTCTTCCAAAAGAACCTATACTCTGGATTACTTCCTTATATGTTCTATGAAATAATAGTGCTAAAAGTGGGCATCTGAATACACCTATAATCATCTGCCCACCTGACTCATTCACCCCTACCTTTCACACCTTTTTCCAGACAAACTACGCGAGCTGATGACGTGAAAATGTCTTCTACATTTTAAGGAAATAGTGAAAAATTGGCTTTGAACTGTGGTACCAGGGATATGACCTGAATCTAAAGTAAACATCACACTTTGAAGTGATTAATGACCCTCTCAATCAATGGATCTCTCGACGTTCGAAATGGTGGTACCAGGGATGACAACTTCTGAAAATGAGAATACGAATTAATGAGAATTTTCTCTCACTTGTATAAGTACTAATTCCCCGACTTTTCATCCCTGGTACCAACATTTTGGTAAGGGATCTATTGGTTGAGAGGATCATTAATCACTTTAAATTGTGATGTTTACTTTAGATTCTGGTGGGATTTGATAAGATAAAAAGTGTTGACAACGACTCTGGAAGATCCAAACGACACAACTTGATTACTGACACCAGTCTTCAGGATTTGGTTTTATTGTATAACCTTTGTGAGATATATTTTCAAGAGAAAAGCTTTTCAATAACCATTTAAAAACATATTTCCCACTGCCTTCATACATTTTTTTCTTCCTATTTTTCTAATATCTTTCGAAAGAATCTTTTTTGTGGCCGTCGAGGAGGGCACCAAAATGACAAATGGGTTTGACATGTGGTCGTAATAGCAATCATTCTTTGGGGATATTTTGAAGAAAACGGAACCTTTATTCTCTTTTTAATCGTAAATCCTCCCAAAGAAAAAACTGATTAAACCTCAAAACATTGAAAAAATTGTTCGAAATTGAAGAATTTGAAGGGGGAGAGAAGGGAAATGAGAATACTGGAAGGCGAAAGTCGAAGGGAGATCAATTTCCGTTGCTTGAACATTTCATTCGAAAGATTTTTTGAATTGAAGTTCCTCAAAACTTTTGGATAACTCCTTGGGAAACTTGGAACATAAGGGGGGGGGGGGGGGGTTTTAAGAACTCAAAAACTGTCAAAACGAGTCAGAAGCAGAAGACGTGGAAAAAGAAAGGTGTTGGCGGAAGACATGATTGATTGGCAGAGATGATGAAAGGGTTAGACAGAAAAATGAGTTTTGTGGTATTCTTTGGACAAAAACAAAGTAAAAAGAATTTGGGAAGGAAAGGGGTTTTGGAAGTTTTGAAGTTTCTCGTTCCCAGGGGTACTGTAGCTTATGAGAGAGGGCTACTGAGATTTCTGGCGTTGGAATACTACCGTATTCTTCTCTCGAAAAAAAAATACGAACTTGATTCAGATGGGAAAGAAAGATTAATATTAATATGTATTGTAAAAAATAACGGATCTGTGGAAGAGAAACGCAGGCGGCCAAAAGCAATGAATTAGAGGAAAGTTAAAATTTTTGATAGTGAACAAGAAAAAAACTGAAAACACATGGAAGTCCAGAAAAAAACTTTTCGAGCTACTTTCGCAATTAAGTTCGGTTTTTCGATGCAAAACAGATTCTAGAGATGCTAGCGATCATTTTCATACCAAGAAGTTTGAATTTTGTTCAGAAAATCCCATTGAATTCACAGAAATAAGTTTCGTTTACTACCGTAGTGTTTTTGGGGCAAGGCCTTGAAACTTGACCGGGAAGCCGCCCGCGAAATTTTCCAGGTCTCACTTTTCTTAATTCGACAATATTTTAGGTTACGGTAGTTGTCGTTGTGGGATCTTCGGCCACGACCGCCGGCTTTTCTTTTCCACAGCTCCAATGTTTTTTGTTTCCACTTTTTAGTAGTTATTAGAAGATATCAACGTTCAACAAATTCAGAAACATTCTTATTCTCAAATTACTAACAGATCGAGAAGTGAGAAACTGAGAAACCGCCAAGTGCTAGAAATAACAGCTCTCCTCGTAACACTTGTGTATTTTCAAAGATGGAACAGAACGAACACCAACGCTTCGTGGCAGTTATAAATTTTGATTGATGACCCATCCTCTTCGAAGAGTCAACAATAAAGAACAACGGAATGGCGGCGTGCGGACGAAACAAAAAGGCATTTTTGCAATAGAGAAAAAAAGATGAGGCTATTCTCATAGAGATTCTCAGTTTCTCCGCTACAACGACAGCTGACATTTGCTCGTTTTCTTGTCGCTTTGTTTGCCCAAGATCATCATTTTTCCAATGTCGCGGTTCTTGATGATCTACGGACTCGGAGGTGGAGCTTCGTAGGAAGTTGTGGCGCCGATTCTAATCCTGTGGAAGAAACAGAAGTGAATGACAAATAGACTTTTGAGATGTTTCGTTTCAGGGGTTTATGTTCACTTTATGAAACAAAAGTGGGGAGAAAAACATTTTCAATTTACAATTTCGGTGGCGATGAAAAGCTACTAGTGATAAAAGTTCAGGAGAATTTTTTCGACAGATGAACATTGGGTTGTAAAGGTGACTGGGACAGAGTTGGAGGAAATACACACAACGTTTTGTGGAGGAGGAGATACGGAGGAAAAACGAGAAAAATATTAGTGATAAAATCAACTCAAAAAGGAAAATCAACAAAATGAGAATAAATTATTGAGGTCTGGGGAAACGAAATTTAAGATAAAAAAGAAAATGATTATGCGAAAGCATCTTCACGATCAGCGCTTCCTGTTCCAAGTGGATCATCGAATGCCTGAAAAAAAGAAATTTCAACTAAAAAACTAAATTTATGATTACCTTGAAATTGTGGAAGTGAACTGGGCGATGATCTTCATGGTAATATTCTTTAGGATTAGAAAGACAGACGTCGAACTTCATGGCAGGCGACCAGCGTTGTCCTTGGAAATTGTAATTCCAGACACCGTTGGATGGGACCATGAAGTATCCAAGGAAACGGTCTGATAGAAGCATCTGCACCTTTTCGTAATGGGTTGGCATGTATCCTTTTGGATTATTTCCCTTATCCGTATTGGCCTTGCCCCATTCGTATCCAGATGGAGTCAGCTTATACGCGGTGAGAGAAACAGAGCCAGGAGTGAAACTGCATGTAATCATCACAGTTTTTTCTCCGTCCCAAGTGATGTTATCGGTGAGAAGCTGAAAAATGAGATATGGATACAAATAAATGTGGCCGAATTCTTACCTTTGCATGAGTTGTTACGTCTTGTGGAGACAATTGTGGAAGTTCATTTGGCTGGGTATGCATCCATCCGAGTGGCTCGAAATCACGAAGCAGTTCGTGATCCGGAAGCTGCGTGGGTAGATTTACTTGCTGATGACTTCCTGTTTGTGGAACAAGAACAATGCAACGGATTTCCTTAACCTGCGGGTTGTCGGGCGGTGAAACTCCATACATGAAACCAGCGATTTGGGTACGAAGATCGGAGATAGTGATGAACTTCTTGAGTATATTCTTTGGTAGGATATAAGTGTAACCGGTATCTTTCACATCATCAGAGTTCACATAGATATGCTGAGTACGGAGATGAAGATTGGTCGAAGAGATGGCACGAACTCTCCACTCAGTTCGACTGGCGAATGAAGCTGTTTCGTAGTTAGATGTTGTAGCCGTAATAATCTCATCTCCGTGTTTGTTCACAGTTCGTGTTGTTGTGGCGGTCACTTGACTTTGTTCTTTCGTCTGTTTTTCGATGTCAGCAATCTGTTGACGTTGCTGACTTGGTGCCGAAATTTCCATACCGAGAATAATATCTCTCACTTCGGATTGAGTCAACGAAGCAACATTGACATTGTTCTTCTTTCCGTAATCAGCCAGAATCATATCCTTCAACGCCAGCTCCACTTTGATCCAGTCTTCGTCAGAAAGTGTTGGCCAAATGTGATGAGGTTCCGTGATTGTGGTCTTGTCAGGTTTCAGAATCACTTTAGTCTTGTCTGGATTGATATGCATTCCACGCATGATCAGTACAACACGAGAGAACGCAGTATATGACGAGATAGTCTTCAGCCAGTCATCGTACAAATTGAAGAGTACCATCTGGGGTTCGGTTGCCTTCAGAATCAAATCTCCAAACTTCTCAACTTTCATGATAGCTTGGAATGGAAGCATAAGCTCGGATCCCTTGATGACAATGTTCGGGAAATCGAGAAGATGCACCTCCAATGGATCGAGCATAGCTTTTCTGGTGACGATGATTTGACGTGGTTGTTCTTCAACTGGCAATGAGCGAATCAAAGCAGCAACCTCTTCAGCAGTTTTCCATTTGGCCAATTGAGACAAACGTTTCTGACCAGCCCATACGGAAGTATGAATGATTTTCAGGAAAAGCTGCCCAGTACGTGGGTTGAAGATGAAAATAGCTCCGTTGATTGGCTTTGTTGTCAAGTTACCCTCGAAAGTCTTGTGAATGGTGACACGGTACACATTGGTATCATCGACGAACCAGATGATTTGGTTACTGAACAATTCTCCATAGTTCTGACTTGTCAAATATGGCTCGGTAGGTTCAGACGAGTAGAGCTGCAATCCCTTGCGAATACGTTCACGAAGCACGTAGAAGGCTGGATTGGCTTTGATGATCTTAGCCATAGCTTGTCGAATCAGAGGTTTCATTCCAGGGAACCAGTTTCCATATGCCGAGTACAAATTGTACGCCAGGTCTATAGCGATGAGAACTCCGGTTGGTGATGGATAGATGGACATGTTGTCAGTGGTATAGTCAAGGAATTTGGCACGTGCATAACGTTCCACATCGTGAGAATCGTAATCTCCCCAACGGAGTTGAACATCAAGCCAGTACTTTTGCGTGGTGGTATTGTCCATAACATCCCTGAAAAAGAGATGAAGTACGACTTTAGATACGTTTTTTTAGTGGTGCAAGTAACAGTTTTCATTCTATTACACTCACTTGCTATCTGCCATCAACGACGGTCTCGAAACATTCCATTTATATTGAGCGAACAGAAGCACGTCGGCACAAGAACTGTTCATCTTATACGATTTTCTTGGATGGATAGTTTCTTTCTGCACAGTTTGAATCTCAAGTGCATCAAGTTCTTGATCGAACACTTGACACAGATCCATAACTACCGACTCGTGAATCTTCTGCCACAAGTGAGCACGGAAGATTTGAATGAGTGAAATCTTCAGTGTTGGAATCTTTCCGTGCATGAAAATTCCTGTGAGATCCAGTTGTACTTGGAAACCGACGTAGACATTTGCACGGTTGATAGTGGGAGACCACCAGAGAGTAAAACGACGGTTCGGAATTTGGTTGAGACCAGATCGTTGAGCGTTGGTGAGCTTTTTGAATTTCATAGATTCTTCGAATCCAGAAGCACGTTCCCAGAACAGTCCTTCCCATGTCGGGAAATAGGTTCCCTGAAAAAAGGTTAATGAATACAGAGTAAAAATAAACAATTGTTTGTCTACTTACTCTGAATAATGTATGTTCGAGAATTCCTTCTACTCCTCCAAGCGCCTGAATCATGTCGGTTCTGTAGTTGTTCAAGTTCCATAGCTTTCCGTCGTGTCTCTGATGAGTCCACCAGAATGGATTCTGCTTCAAAATTTGGTAGGCCTTGAATTCTGTTCTCACACGCCATCCCTTATCGTAGGCCAAAGTGTGTCGGTCTTTTTGGAACAGTGTATTGATTCTCGGAATTCCACGATCCCATGAATCGTCGAGGTCTTCCAGCGTAAGTCTTCTGTTCTGGGCATTCGCTTCTTGTCTCTTCAAGGCATATTCTGCCCAAACACGAACCGAGTCCACGAACTCAGCTTCCCACGGCTGAATGTATCTGTACAGATTTGGAATCAACTGGTCTTCGTCATGACTCATTCCCGAACGGAAGTGAGTGACACCTCCTGCTTCTGTTTGCTGCATCCATCTGAGATCTGACTGAGGAATCAGAACGTGTCCCATTGAGAGCATTCCAAGTCCTCCGATTTCTTTTGGTGTATAGAAAACAACAGGTGGGAAACGGGAAGGCATTTTCGAGTTCAGTCCAATCTTGATTCTAGTTTGAATCTTGTTTTCACATTTCACCAGCAGATCCAGAAGTTCTTGTGTGTTGACCACGGCTTCTCTGAAGTAGGTCATCAAACCGATAAGTGCAGTATTCCATTTGTTGACAATTTTCGTGAAGGTAGTTGATCCCGAAGACATCAAGATTTGTCGAATTCTGTTGTGGAACTTGGAAAGCGACTCTTCGTCCACTTTCAGGAAGCATTGAGCAGTTCTTTCCTTAGTAACCTCATTCTGAAGATTCCAAACACCATCTCGATGGACGAATTCTTCATTTGCGGTACGACATTTTGGAAGAATGCGACATTCGAATCCGGACATATCGAAGAGCATGTTCGGGTTGTCCTTACTGTAGACAGACACAAATGAATTCTCCCACTCGACGGTTGTGATGGAACGAGGCAAACGATTCTGAAAAATTAATTATTTGTAATGATAATGTACACCTTCTAAGTAGACCTAACCGTTCAATTGAATCGGTGGATCTGTTCACGAGGTGGAATATCGCTTTTTTCCTTTTGTTTTCGAGGATTTATCAACGATTAACCATCAATGATTACTCGCCTTCTTATACCTCATTTTTTGGAAATAAGAGGATAGTTCATGCAAAATGTCTTACCTTGATGTCCCAGAACACGGCTCTTCCCAAGTTGACATCATGTTTCATCAGCCGCATTCGTGCATCTCTTGGCCAACACTTCTTGTTATTGTATCCAACAATATTCTCGTTATTTGGATCTGGATGCTCTGTCAGATAACGTTGAATCAGATCACGAGCCTCATCAGCACTGAAGCGGAACATAATCCACACTCGGTCAATGTAACGGCAATAAAGACGAATTGGATGGCCGATTTCGGTGGCAACGTCTTGGAATTGTAGGAACTCGTTCGGACATTGTGGTGGTCCAGCAATTTCTGAAGCACGTCGAAGACCGAGGACAAGTAAATCGAGAACTAGTCCATAGAATTGGACAATGAATGAAGCAAATTGAAGACCGCGGATGATTCCAAAGGAGTTTGTATGATTCATATCCTTGTAGTTGATAAGAACGTTGTTCTTGGATGTCATGTAATCAGCAATATTGTGATCCACGATCAGTCTCAGAAGTCTATTTAGCAACGTCAAATCCATCTTCTCAGCTATTTTCTCCAACTTTGTCTCCATTATAACGTTACATTCTCCTTCACTTGTCTCCCACACGTCTTGAAGATTATTGAGTCCTTGGCACCACTTGTAGGTGAGCAATGGTGGCGGTTCTGTGTCACCCGGCTTGACCCACGATGGGAATAATCTTCTCTTATCAGCTTCATACCAGAGGTACTGATCGAGGTAGGCATCCGTAACCTTCTCCAATGGCTCAATATCGTAAACGGGAATCAGATGAGTGTAGAGATCCATGAACTCAATTCCAACTTCCTTGAATGCACGTTGCGTGAGCATGTGTCTCTTGATACGAGATAGAGCTTCGTGAGGATTGTCATAAGCCTGCTCAATCAAGGCCAACTCTTCTCTTTGTGACTGGTTCAAACGATTTTTGACGCTGTAGCTTTCCTTCAGTCTTTCCAAAGCTAGAATCAACAGCTTAGTATCGTGTTTGTAGGAAAGCGGTGGGAATGGGATAGGAGAGAATCGTCGTGACTCCAGCCAATGGACGGTTGTTGTATAAATCGCGACAGCTTCTTCGGCCGAGATGTATGGACCATCCTTGAGATAGTTGTGTTGTCTTTCTTGTTCGGATTTCAAATACAATCTCGTCAGTCGTCCCAAATTCTTCTTGCACACAGTCTTATCGACAGTAGCTCCTCGTCTAACACGTTCTCTGTTGTAATGGGCAGAGTTCGTCCACCAATCCGCCTTTGCCTTCACATATCGAAGAATCATATTTTCAACAGGTGTCGGTAGTCCAGGAACTTTCCAAGGAATGTTAGCTTTCCAGCAACGCCATGCTTCGGAGAGATGTTGCAGAATAACACGAGCCTTGTTTTGTTTGATTCCATCTGGCATCATATCCAAAATGTCGTGCATAACTGCGGCACTGAAAAGAAAAACTTCACAAACGATGTACATTAAACAAAATTCTTACCGAAGCTCAAGATCGAAGTGAGACTCGACTCTCTGCTTGGTGACTGTCTTGGCAACACCCTTTGAATGTCTACCTTCGAACTGTCGAGAAAGGAGATTACCAAGCCATCTTTCCAAAAGCGGCGTGATTCCTCGGAGGAAGAACAACCAAACTCTCCATCCAGGTGCCCAGAAACCACATCCGGGACCTTTGCCGACTGGTCCAGTGTTGAAACGATAGTAGATTAAATGCTTCAGATCTTTGCACATTCTCACTTGTCTCATTAGTTTGTACTTGTAACGATACATTCCTGTCAGCTGACCGACGTGTGCAAAAATGTATTGGAGTCCATCAGCTAACTGATAGGCGTCCACATTGTTTAACCGATACTGGACATGAGCATCTACAACTAGCTTCGTGAGACGCAAGATTTCTCTGCACAAATGGAAAGCGTTTCCGAACCGAGATTTCTTTCTTTCCTTCGTTGTCAACGTTTTGACTGGCTCAGATTGAAATTGTAGTCAAGATGAAGATAGTTGAGATTCTTTCGATGAATGAGAAGATTGAGCATGTTGTAACCTTGACGGAGAACTTGCAATCCTGCTTCCACCCAATCGAGAGTCGTAGTTTGGAAGAACTTCGTAGCTTTGAATGAACGGAACAAATAGCGACGTTTTTGAGGCTTTGGTGGACGGTGCTTGAGTGCATTGAGAACAAAGACTTTGAGAAGCTTCTGATAAGATACGCGCACCTTTACGGGCATTCCTAAAAAATAAGAAATTAGGTTCAAACAAAGTTTTGTGAGACGAACCGGCGGGGCAATGTTCTCGGTACCATGACTTCACTAATGGAACATCCACAGCTCTTCTTGTTCTTCCGGATCGCAAGTTGAATGGACGTGGAGCCCAAAGAAGTGCTAAACCATTCGCCGTGTTATCAGAATAAAGAGGAACGTCTTCAAAAATTGGTCTGACGTCTTCTGGGAGTGCCCAATCATCATCTTCTTCTCCTTCTGGCAAATTTTCCTCTGTCTGAAAATAGTTTCACTTTTTTTGTTTCCCAGGTAAAAATCTAGAAAAAATTAACTATTAAAATCTTCTCGCCTTTCAAGGAAATTATATGGCGAATTTCGGCTACTGAAGACTTGAAAGTTCACAGAATTCAGCTTATAAACTCGCTCTTCTTTTTCGTTTGAAGAAGAAACTTACAGCTTTCAGATTACTTAATACAATCGGATTGATCAATGGATCATAGTAGAATGCTGGTAAATCAGGATCTTCAGTTTTGATGAACACAACGGACGGCGTGTGGTACCAAGAAACCTGAACCGGCAACGAGCTGATCAAATTGTTGTACATGAATGGGAAAGCAATTCTGTATTCCGTGCGGATAGGAGCTCGAATAATTACTTTATTTATGTCATTGAATTCATTCCAATCTTCATCCCTGAAAATTCATTTTCGCTCAGCAATACTTCCAATAGTTAACTCACGTGTGCAAATCCTTCACCAATGGCTCGAATTTCGGACCTCCGGGGATGGCCACATTGAGTGCTTTGGCAGTGAAGAAACTCTTCATGTCGAATAAATAAAAATAATTATCATCTACTAAATCGGTCAGTAACTGATTAGCAAGACGATAGAGAGTTGACATTTGAGGAATACTGAATGCCCATTTCCTGTATGTCGGTCCATTCACAAAACGAGTGGTAGCTAACGGTTTATGATCATAGAACCATTCAGCAACGGCGCCATCTTCTTCCGGATCAAGCTCCATCTGGATTGGCTCCAATGGCTCCACATCAAGAATATTGTCAGCATAATCAAGTGGTGGTTCTTCATCATCGAATGGAGGGAACCTCATCCGTTTGAAATGCCGACGATCACGCTTTTCTCTTCTCATCATGATCCACATTGTTCCCCATTGAGCCATGTAAACCGGTTCGATAACTCGAGGAATGTCGTTTACGAACGTAATAGCTCCAGTGATGTGATATAAAACTTTCACATCTCGGATTTGCTCCCAAGGCATCGGCATGTTTTCTAGGAGTTTCAGTACTGCATGTGGCATATACTTGAGAGCTCCAAGATAAACTCTTTTATCATGACGATATTTGCGAGAAGTCATATCTCCATGATCTCTGATAACTTTTCTAACATGCTCAGGTGGCATTTCTTCCTTTTGTGTGTCAGCCATTCCAAACTTCTTCTTCTCTGAATACCGTTTTCCTTGCAGTTGCTTCCATTTTCGCGATTTTTCCTCCAGAATCGAATCTGGAATCGCATGAGGCTCGGTCTGAGGCGGACCACCGTGATCGGCCATCCCTGAAAATCGAAAACATATTTATCTAAATATCTAATTTAACTAAAGACAGACCATATTAGGCTGTTCACATCATAATGTAGGAATACGGTAAAGATTCGAAGAAAATCATACAGAAAAAAAAACGAAAGGCATGTTGTGTCTCTTATTACGGTTACTTCTACAAAATTGAGGTGATGTGATCAACAAAAACCAGAAAAGTAATAAATAAATAAAAATAAAAGTGTTTTTGAAGCGAAAAGCACTGTTTCGAAAAGAAAAACATTCAAATTTTCAACCCACTAAACAACGCGCACTACCGGAGTGTCGTACTAAGATCAGCAGGTCAGTGGGGATTACTGTGCCCGGCAGTTCAAACAATGTATTTAGACACTGCGCCGGCGCAGCGTTCCAATCGATTGCCCCGCCTCTTTCCCAGCAGCCGTTTGTGTTCGCCGCCAGCTTTGGTGTTTAGGTTGCCAAAAGGAAATTATCGATTTTTTCATCGGGTCCGCCGTCGTTCGTTATACCTCTGATGTTTTCCGAATACATTCGTAGCTATTTTCTTGTGTGCGGTTATCGAAGCTGGGAATATGATCATGTGACATTTCTGAGGGTTACATTTTTCATTATCTAGGCTTTAATCCACAGTGAAACTTCAATTAAGCCGTTTGAAAACTTCAACTTGTTGATGAAAACACTGTTTTCTCAATATTTTTTCGTATTTCTTATTGCGAAACCACTTTTTTGACATATATTTCGTTTTCTTTTCGAAAATCGCTATACTATTTAACACCTCGTTTTCGTTTTCAGGAGATTCTCTACTGTGACTGCAACTCATTAAATTGTTATTAGTTTCTGCTATAAATGTCTTCTCGAACTTCATGGCCTGTATTGGATCTTAACCGTTCCAATTGTTCTCGAGGTGAGGAAAAGTTAGAAAATCAAAAAAGTTTATCAGACTGGTATTTTGAAAAAAAAACAATCAAATCTTAATATCATTTAGATAAATAAAAATATTCAGTAAATGTTGACTAATAATTATTGTCTTGCTTATTTTCAGCTGATGAGCTACCTCCACAACCGCGTCGATTAGAAGTTGTTTCCAAACAAGCGACACGAGTCACTGCACTATCTACAAAACTTGAATGGAAAATTGAACAGTTCGAAAAGCTTATGAAATTGGTGAAAAATGGATCAAACTTGATTTCAAGAATGTTTAGTGTACCTGACGCACCAACAGTGTGTTGGGAACTTCATGTCTATCCGAATGGAAAACGAGACGAGGATATGAATCATGTATCGTTCTTTTTGAGACAAGTTGGATTAGCTGTAAGTTTAATTTCTAAATAGTTATTTTTACTATAAATCCAGAAATCTTGAATGTGCATTTTCGAAATGATATTCCGGCTGGAATAATTCCGAAAAAAACTCGGACCGGATTTTTGAAGTTGTTTTTTTCGGAATTAGAGATTTTGGACTACGATTTGTCAAAGGTACGGAAAAAATTTAAAAATCTAAATGTTCCAATTGGAAATTTTGAAACGCGGAATTTTTGACATTCCGAAAAGGCAGTCGGCTCGAACATGTCTGTAGCTGAATAGATAAAATTTATGCTACGACAATTATTTTGGGGTTTTTAAATACGCTGTTTCTGATCGAACACAACTTAAACTTCAAAAAATTCGAACAAATATAATTTTCAATTTTTCGAATTTCAGGTTGTATTCAATCAGTAAGATCACAATTGAAACCCTAAAATAAAAAAATGTTCAATACAGTTTGAAAACTTCTGATATCGGTCCTTTCATCAATTCGAAATGTTTTTCCGGCCAAGCCTTCCTAGTTTTGTGAACGAAAAGGTCGATCAAAATCACAATTTTTTACTGAATTCTTTGTGCAAAAAGTCAATTTCTAGCGTGGAGAGGAGCCAATAATGACCGAATTTCAAATATATGCTCTCGATGCTAATAATCAACGAGTGAGTGTATGCAGGGATACAAAGGACTTCACTAATCAACAAGGACGTGGAAAATTTCAAGTTACTCGAGACAAGATGACAGGCGCGCTACGCTCGGACGGAACTCTTTTTCTGATTTGTGAAGTTGAATATTTTCCACCTGGATCGAAAATCTCCGTTGAACCGGTAATGGAAGAAGATGTATCAACTGAAGAGCCAGAGGATCTGCCTGAAGTAGTTGTTCGTGCCAATAACCGAAACATGTGGGAAGAAGAACTTTTTACCGATTGTGTTATCCACGTTGGAAACAAGCACATCAAAGCACATCGGTGCATACTTGGTCAAAACTCGCCAGTTTTTAAAAGCATGTTTTCGTCACCTACTATGCTGGAAGCGCAGAACGGGGAAATTCATATGCAAGATGCGAAATACGATTCTGTACGAGCAATGGTAGAATTCATGTATACTGGTGCCACAGAATCACTGGACCAAGGGAACATTGACGAAATTTTGGCTATAGGTAGGTATTTTTGTTTACTGCAATGACAATGTCATACGAATTTTGTGTTTGCGATGTTTTTTTAATCACTTTATTTTTCAGCTGATAAATACGAAGTTCTGATGCTCAAAGATCAATGTGAACGTCTTATCGCTCAAACGATCAATCTGAAAAATGTCACTCAAGTAGCCATGTTCTCCGACACCTACACAGCGGATTATTTGAAGTCTGCAGTAATTCGATTCCTGATGACCCATCATCGAGTAGTCATCAAAACTCAAGATTGGATAAATCTGAAGAAAAGCAGGCACGAATTGGCTAATGAGTTACTGGAAGCAGTGCTAACGACGGATCAAGACGATGATGACACATCCATGTCTGCTAGCCAAGTCTCGTCGCCACCATCACGGAAACGTGTTCGTCGCAGTGCGAAGTAGTTACGATTTTTTAATGAAGTACGCATCCCAGTTGTATACCATCCCATGTTGTAATTTCCTTCGCGTCATGTATAGTTTTAGGAATTTCCTCCATCTCTGTCATTCTTTCGGGTATTTACAAATTTTTTAGCTATCGACCCTTTTTAGTCACATCAATACTCGTGAGTTATGCCCTTCATAATATTTAATCATGTCATCATTGCCTGTTTTTTCTGTCTGCCAACTCGATAATACCTACCTTCCGATGTTTCATTTTTTTCCTCTGAATATGTTTTTTTGATTTAGGTAGGATCGTTGTTGCATTACAGAATTTTTCTGTGTTTTAAATAGTCTCTCATTTGTCTATGTCCATCAAATTCGGTGTCTTTTTTCACATAATAAAAATGTGGGCTCCTTTATGAGTTTCAGCATGTTCACAATCTATTGGAAATGACACCATGTTTATGTTTCTAACCATGTCCCAAACTGATAATTGAACTAACCATCTGTCCTCTTCTCTAGAAATCATGGATTGGAAAATTACAATTTTCACCTATAACTTGGCCATGAGACCGTCGTATCCAGAAGCTGTTCATAACTTCCTGAATGGAAATGTCGATGAGCATACTCATTTGGTGGCAATCGGACTGCAAGAAGTGGCTCATGCAGAGACAATAGGAGGAGCTATGATCACATGGGCTCAAAGCATTGCAGCATGGATGAACAAGAATACAAGGATGGTGTTGTTAGCGAAAACTTTTCAAGCAACGAATCAAGTTTTGATTTTTGGGAGAAAGCAACTTATCGGACAGGTGAAGAAGATCTAATAAAAAAACTTTATTAACAAATGGGAATCTAATTCAAGATTAAACGAATTGACTACCGTTTCCAACGGAATACAATGCGCGGTCTAACAGGACATAAAGGATCAATTGGTATTCGTCTCCAACTGACAAGCCCTTACTCGATTGTATTTGTGGATAGTCACTTTGTTCATGGGCCTGAAAACAATAGCAAAAGGATCGAGCAGTATCATACTAATAGGATTTGCTCTTTTCCAGAAGATAAGAGTGTCAGGTATGTGGTTTTCGTAGAACCAACAATTCAATTCAACACCAGCCATATCCGGATTTCGACGAAATCATTTCGTATTCTGAATTCCGTTTTTGTTCCGGATTCAGTCGGATTTTATTTTTCCAGATTCCGAATTCCAAATCCCGAGAAATTTCATTTGTTCCGGATTCCGGATTCCGTTTCTCAATAATGTTATTCCGGACATCTGAGTTCATATATTTATTGAACAAAAAAATATTTCAACCCAGAAAATCGTTAGAAAAATTAAGAAAAATTCTTTATTCAATTATTCAAGTAGGTTAGTTTTGCTTCTTGGCACGACCAACTTGGCGAGAAGTGGTTAGCTGTTTGCGAGCAGAAGATTGGGAACGAGAACGGGAACGAGAACGGGAACGAGAGTGGGAATTGCTCTTATCTCTTTTTCTGACATGAAACATTTTTCGAAAGTCAGAATTTAGCTACACAGACCTCGATGCTCCAGGTTTCTTAGTCTCCTTGTTCATTCCCAATTCCTCGCGAAGCTTAAATTGAGAACGAGTGACTGCGCCTTTGGTACGAAGAATAAGAGTTGTTGAGGGACCTCTCATCGAGTCTCTTCTTTTTGGCACGGTAGTTTTCTTCATGCGTCCTTCAGCTGCAGTAGGTTTAGCTGACGTTGTTGGAACATCTTTCTGAGATCTGCTAGTGGATCGGCTACGGAGACTGGTGCTCTTGCTGCTGCTTCTTCTTTTCGGAGCTTTGACGTAGGCCTTCATTTTTCTTCTGCGAGTAGATTGTACTGTCAAGTTTTTCGTACTGATTGAAACTGTTCAAAACTTTTTATAATCTAGCACAGGATTGCAATGGCAATTGTCATTGAGCCAAGGAAGTCACGTTTCAATCTTCGTAGAATACCGTATTTTCTCCAATGGAAGCCCATGTGCACTTTGAGCTCAATTATCTCGGTTCCTATAAGAGGTATTAAAAGGGGGTCAACTGACAAAATTCGTGTCATATTATCAAAAAAAAGTTTGTTTTATAACTACTTTTTGATATATTTCGAAGGAAACGAGATAATTAAGCTCAAAAATAGGATGAGGCTTCTATTAGAAAACATATGGTAGTAGCAATTACTGATAGTGACACTGGCTGATAAGCTAACTATTCTCGGGCGCAAAAGACGATCAAGCTAGAGTCCAAACATTTTTCAGAGCCGCGTTCTGGTTTGGAGATTTCAATTTCCGAGTGGAGGAAGATTTGGAAACTGTTATAGGGAAGATTAAAAACGGAACTCATCTCGAGCTTCTTGGTATTTATTCAAATCAATTTCTCTTAAACAAATCAGTTTTCAGACAGTAGAGATCAATTGAAAAGAGCTATCATCGAACGTGACGCATTCATTGGATTCCACGAGCAGCCCATAACATTCGAACCAACGTATCGGATGACAGTGGGGACAACAGAACCAGATGGAAAGAGAGTACCTTCTTGGACGGATAGAGTTCTTTACAAAGGAGATGGAATCACTGAGATTTCATACTGTAATAACAAAAGAGCAGTCGCCAGTGACCATTTGCCTGTCATCGCTTCTTTCAAAGTTGCTGTATGTGTAACTTAGCTTTGGTAGTTATCAATGTATTCTGTTTCCAGGCCACTGTAGCTCCCAAACCTCAATGGGAAGTCGTATTCGAGCATCTTCCCACGTGGTACAGATCAATCCCGTTGGTAGGAAGGTTCCAAGTCAACTCTCAATTCTACAAAGAAAATGGCAGTTACCGAGACTGGATTGGTGTATTTCCAGTGAGTGCCATTGAACGTTCTTGATTCTATGATTCTATTCAGGCCACCATCGACGACTGTACCACTGCTATTCATTGGATCTACGCTGCAACATGCTTTGAGCAAATCATCGAAGGCGAAAAGTTTCTGGCGTGTGAATTCGCGGATATCCCAGTTGGAAACTATCGTCTTGGATATTTCGCTTCTCACCTGAACTGTCTTGTCGGACTATCGAAGGTTTTCCAAATAGTGGATCAACCATAAATTTCTCTTGTAATACTTTTCTTGTTTTTTGTTTTATCAGGCTTTATTTACTTGCCAAATACTTCTGAAAATTCCATTGTGATATTATTAGTTTTCCAAAATAGTATCCGGTTTTTTTGTGCCACATTATTCAGAAAATAAAGATTTTATTTTTCAAATGCTTTATTTGTTTTCGCACTATTACAAATCAGAAGACTTAAAACTTCAATTGTGGTTTCAAAGGAATCTTCAGGTTTACAACACAAAAAGAAGAGATTCGTTTTGTATTTTAACATTTTTGTACAATTTTCTTCAAACTTAATATTTTAAGAATTCCGAATTTGTACAATCTCGAATAAGGCTGAGTTGCCGAAAGGCGTACAAACGGCGGCTGAAGATTAAGCATTGTCTAAAGCTTGGGTCTTTAAGTACATGGGGAAATGTTTGTGATAAAAAGTTTGAAAGGAAAACATTGTAATCAGACTATTATAAAATCTTTTTTTTATTTTTTGTTTTGTGAAGAACATTTGGAGTTATACCAATTCTTAAATCTTCAACCGCCGTTTGTACGCTTTTCAGCAACACCGCTTTAACTGTGATATTTGTAACTTTTTTGATTTCAAGACGCATATCTCATCTGGACGAAATTGTGAAAAATAGTTGTTCACTATAAAAATAGTTGTTCACTATGAAAAATAGTTGTTCACTATTTCACTATACATCTTTTTGGTATACCTGTTATTAGTGTTTTCAGGCTTCCAAACTTGGCTACCTTATTTGGCCTAATAGAAATTCGCCCACTTTGAGCTCAATTATCTTAGGTTTCTCAAATAATATCAAAAAATTTCAATTGATAAATTGTTTATCAGGATATCATCAATATTTTATCAGTTGAAAGATTTTTGATATCTCTCATAGGAATCAAGATAATTGAGTTCTAAAATATTGTAATTCCAGCTGATAACAATTAAAAGTCAAAATTGGTGGAGCAGTACTGTAGTTACTGTAGTATTGTGAGCTGTTATAAATTTATTCTCTAAGAAGCGAACCACTATTAAACTCTCTATTCTCCATTCCCCAATAACAACATGTTTTGTTCACATGCTCTCCAGTCTCTCTTCCTCTGCAAAACCTAGTCTCCGGGCTCTCGGCCATCACGTGTATAGTGCATTTGTCCCTTCCCCTCTGCGTTATTGATTCAATGGTGTACCAGCGTCTCTAAGTGCACCACTAATTATAATTGAAGAAGAAGAATCTATAAGAATCAATAGAGCCTATAGTCTATAGATTTTTTGAATTATTATGGACATTCTCCAGAAGTGCTTTATAAGATTCAGATCCACATTTAAAACACAAAAAAAATCATCTGTAAATTCTTATTATCTTCTTTGCTAATCTTAATCAAAATACCTTTAAAGTCCCCGACTATGTCTATTCTGTCCCTTTTCTGTCTGCGCGTCTTCTTTCTCTTCTTCTCGTGCTGCTATTCTCATGTGACTATTACCATCTGGTTTTTCTTTTCAGATCAATAATAATCGTCAAAAATGGAAGCTGATTATTTGAGTTACAAAAAGTTTCTGAAATTCTTCTCGACTCGTATGGTACAAACGTTAATTCAGGTTAGTAAAAGGTCCCTTCTCCAAGATTTTTTTCCTCAAAAATCCATTTTAGGCAAGACTCGGAGATGAAATTGAATCAAAATGTTCTCCATACTCGAAGAATACATTGGATTGGTTCAATGTGCGAGTCGATGAAGTCGGAGAAATCAGTGCGTATATCAAATCGAACATCAAAAACTATCCACCGGTCAGTAAATTGACTCTGGAATTCTTTTTGTATACTCCAAGTGGACAATGTCTTCCTGTGGAAGCATGGACTTTAACAGTGACAGAAGGATCTGAGGATAGTGGAAGAACGGAACTTTATCATGAAATGAGCACTCTTCTTCGGTCCGTAATAGTCTCTGCCAGAATGACACCAATGCATCGATTGTATGTTAAAAAACAGAATCAGGAAAGCTTTGTTATCATGTTCAGAGTGAGTTTTTGGATTTTTGATTTCTAATGGTGTCGTTATAATTTTCAGGTTTTTGAAAACGATGTTTCATCAGACATGGGAAAAGGAAAAAAGACGAGAAAAATTGGAGAGTTGACTTCGAAGTTTGGAACAATCAGTTTGGATCTTCATTATCGAACTTCTATGCATTTTGAGGAACCTGAAATTGCTCCAATTATGTAAAACAATATTTTTCCAACCCTATAATCCCCGAGTTTCTTACAGACCACCAGAAAATGAGGAAGAAATGGAAGATGGAGAAAAAACGGTTGTGGATGAAACAACTCTACAAACGAGACCTGTTTCTGAAGCTGTTCCAATTCAAGATATGAAAAAAAGAAAAGCCAGTGGAAGTGTGGAATCCAGCGGAGGGAGCTCAACTTCTCGAGAAACTGCTCCTCGTTTCATTCTTGGACAGTCGACGTCGAGTGAAGATTCTCGTCACTCTGACATTGGGAATTCGATGGAAGAAGATCATAAACCATCACTTGCAGATCTTCGCAATCATTCATTCCCATTTGTAAATCTTCTGCAATCTGCCTACAATCCAGCAAATGGAACTAAAAAGAATTCGTCTTCAACTAGTCTCAGTAAGGATTTCGATCCTAATCTTTTGGAAGCTGGTTTCTATCTTTTCAGACTCTCCAAAACCTGAAGATGTCCCACCCCCAAGTGTGGAGAAAGTTGCTGAAAGTTTCCGTGCCGCTAAAATCGACGAAGTGGTTTTGGAGGAGGACGAAGAAGAAGAGTTGCCGATTGATTCCATGGAGCTCAGCGAAGATTCTTTCGTACATGTAAGATAAAAGTTAAAATTGTAAATATAGAATGAATTAATTTCAGTTCAATCAAATATCGGAATTCGGCGGTGCTCCAAGTCTTGGAAACGAACTGGGAGACTATTTGAAACAATTGAAACTTGCTCCTGATATGTCAACTCCAGGCGATATTGACATTTGCAATATGGATTTGAAATCGGAGGTTCGTTTTTTGAAATTAGAAAAAAGATGTCTAGAAAATAATCTTATTTCAGCTCGAGAAAGTGATTGCCTCATCCGCCAACTTTGACCATTTTCTGAAGCATGTCAATTCATTTTCCGACGAGTAGCTATGTAATTTTGTTGTAATTAGCTTGTAATTCATGTACACTTTTCACGTTTTAACTTTTTTTCTGAACATATGACTGTACAGTTTTGCCTATTACACTATCCCTTTTGTTTTTTTTTTGCAAAATTTCGAGTGAACATATGCATTTAAACTTTATACAGTTAATACATTTTTTGATTTATTCATCGAGTACATCTTCCATTTCTGCATTGTTCCGAAGTCTTGCAACATGCATTTCCACATTGGTCCCTTGTCACTGGGCAGTTCTAGAAAAAAATTCGATTTTCATAGGTTAAACTTTCAATGGGGGGATTCGATCAAAAGGTTTTTTATAACTTCACGAAAGTTCAGAAAAAAAACCCAAAATTCTTGAAAACTTCGTCGAAAAGTGTCGGGGAAGAAGTACTGTAGTTACTGTATCTCTTCGACAGGAAGTCACAATTCGACAGCTTTTTAAGGGATTTCGAATTTTTTCGAATTTTTTCGAATTTTTTCGAAGTATTATTATGAAAATGCATAAATTTGCGAACATTTTGATGCAAGAAAAACTCTAAAAAACCTCCCGCCCCCATTTAAAAAACGTACGGAAAGTCTTGGGAAACATCTATTACGAAGGCATGTTTGATCGGAATTACAGCACTCGTAGGCTGAACATTGTGATGTTTGTAAACTGCATCTTGACGAAGAATCTGAAGAAAAAAAAAGAAATTCCAAAGATCCATCTTTTGAACAAAACCTTTGGAATAAGTTGGGGCCGGAGTGCTTGCTGGCTTCTTTTTTCCAAAAGAGAAAATTGAGGAAAAAATGTTGCTTGAGGCGACAGAATCAACGGAAGTAATCAAAATGAAAAGGAGAAAAATTGCGATAATTATTTTCATCCTGTAATGAAGTTTTTGAAAATAGATAAGGATATAAAAGAGAAAAAGATATGAAAAGAGAAAAAAAAGAGAAGAAGAGCAGGAACTTATTTTACGAGTTTCTTTTTTTTTAAACTTATTTATTTTTCAACGAAGGGGAGAAAACCACTAACACATGAAATGTCTATGAAACTAGGAGATATAACAGGGACATACATTTGTATTAAATGGGAGATGGAGGAAAAACCGAGTTAGTAATTAGTTGAATTCAAGACAAGAAAATGTTTTAGATCACAAGATAATAGTCGATTTTTGAAAGCCGCTGACGAGGGCTTCACCGGAAACACTTTGGCGGGTAAAGAGTTCCAACATCTGATTACTCTATTAGAGAGAAATTGAGAAGATATTTTTGTTGAGTTTTGATAAGTGATTTGAGATAGTATTTGTGACGTCGCAATGATCCAGCATGATTAAATAAAAAAATCAGTTTCGGATATATTTTTGCAAAATAAATTTGGATGAAGAAAAATGGCGCTTACCGTATCGAAACCGGTGAAAGATATCAAAAAGTTTGTCAAATAATGTTGATGATATTATGATAAATAATTTATTAGTGAATAAATTTTTGATATCATTTACATGAATCGAGATAATTGAGCTCGAAGTTGACGGTTGTGGTAAGCTTATGTTAGACGAAATACGATGATTGATTTGGAACTCAAAATTGGATATAAAAATACTATTTTAATGAAAAAAAACTTCCTCTATCTTTCTACATTAATCTAACAGCTTTTTGAAAGTCTTTTTTTTAATCCTCTGGAATTTGGAATTTTCTGGAATTTGAATGTATAAAATTTTTCTAAAAGAACTTTAGAAACGAAATAAAATCAAATTAAATCTAGAACTGAAAGTTATTTAACAACTATGACCTATCTTATTTGTAAAACGAATGCAATTATTACAGGAAATGACGAATTTGATAGTTTGATAAGAAGAATTTTTCAGGTCTAGCTTTTTGTTCAAATGACAGATGATTCATAATGTGGGTTTTTGACACGAAGAAAATGTTTAAAAACCTTGAGTACTTGAGCAAACAGAGTTTACTTTTTTTGTGTGATGCTTTTATTTTGGTTCATACTTTGAATATAAGAATAGAGGCATATAAGGAGGAGATAAAAGAAAAAGAAATATTTGAAAATAGAATAAATCGGAAAACTTGTGAGTGTTTTCTATTCATGATGATGATGGTGATGATGATGATTCTGACCGTCGTTCGTCGCTTCAAGTGCCATGTTTATGGAAGCTGGTGCACGTGTATTCGCATTCTTTTTGAAGATCTCTCTCGCTTCTTTGTTGCCATCCGCTTCAAGAATGTTGACACAGAGACGGTCACGTTTGATTAGGTCACTGGTGATTCGTGCGATCTGCAATAAATGGGCAATGGTGTTTGTTTGGGAACTTTTACAGTTCTAATATTTGCTTAATGATGTGTTTGAGAAAACTAGATTTGAAACTTTCGATTCTATCTAGGCCAACTTACGTGAAGTGGAAGACTCTGTCCCGGCTCAACGGTTGCATAAACCGGAGTGACTCGATACATGTTGTTATCACTGCAAGTGATTTTCACAGCTATCCGATCTGAAATTTTCAGAGTTTATTTTAAATTCCTTCCCCAAGATTACAAAACTTACTGTCGGAATGGTTCATGAGAGTATGAGTCGAGAGTCCTCCTTCAACCGAGAAACGAGCGACACGGGGAATTACAGTAACCCCTGCGGCGATATGACAGCAACATGTGCATCCTGGTTGACGTTCGGATCTGAAATTCGTTTGGTTAGAAGAGTTTCTTAACCCTATAGCTGCAATTGTTTTACCTAAAACTGTCTAAAGCGGATCGAGGCCGATCGACACCGAAACTTGGGAGGAGATAAGTTGGTTTTGAATTATAGATATTCATTGGAAAAGGAACAAGAGATTTGTGGGAGAAGAAATGAAGGATAGGAGACAAAATAAGAGGTCTCTCAATTTAGTTTGTCGCCGACAATTTAACACAAAATTGCTCGCCGAGCTCTGGTCTTTTCCTCTTGGCATCCGGAGTATGTGGAGAGGAAAGCTCCGAAGATGTTTATGAAAGTAACAAGAGGAAAAATAGGTTTAATTGACGATGTCGTATTACATCATAAAAACTGGTCTACTATTGTGCCAGGTGTTCAACTATTCGAGATGAAAGAGGCTCTTAAAAACTATGTAACACTATTCATGTCAGTATTTTTGTTCTACGAGAAAATGAGTTAAGAAATTAAGAGATTATAGAATTCGTTGATGGCTAAAAGTAAGAAAGTACCAAATAGACTCGCTCAAAACAAGATACTTATATGTCCAGTACCGTTCAAATATATACAAAAACGTACATTTCCGTTGACTTTCGGTCATTTTTGCCATTTTCCGGAATCTCGAGCTCGAATGACAAGTTTCCGATCACTTTGAAAATTTTGAAGGCTTTAAAACAGACCTAGATTGGAAACTTTGAGTTCAAAGAATTCTAAGAAAATTCCTAGTTTTTCAGCTGTTTGCCGATTTTTGAAAGACATCCCTTTCCCGCTCGTTCTTGTACTGAGAACATGCAAAAAAAGGTGTCCTCCGGATATAGGCAAATAGCTGAAACATTGGGTAATTTTCAAAAATTCTGTGATTGGCAAGTTTTTAATATAGGTTTGATTTACACCCTCCAAAAATTTCCAAATCGGAAACTTGACAGCCGAGCTTCAGACTCCTAAAAATGGTTAAAATGACCGAAAATAAACTGGAAAATACGTTTTTGTATATCTTATGGAACGGTACTGTATGAGTCCAGATCGTTGTGTTAAATTGTCAACTTACCTTCCAGAACTCCTGCTCGACCTGGCCGATCTCATCAGGTACTCCATATCCGATAGGGCAATTGCTGAAAAACCAATTTACACTCTGATTCTTCTCTCCTAACTTACCAATCATTGGTTCGGGAGTACTAATTTGCTGTGGTTGTGTCTGTTGTTGTCGTCCAGTCTGCCTTCCAGGAGTTAATCTTGCTGTTCCGAATGGACGCATTGCAGCTGAACTGGATGAAGCCATAGACGAAGAACGAATGTCTTTGAAGTTCTGAAACACAAACTTGGGAATTGAGGAGAACAAAAGTGGATGAGAAGGAGAAGAGAGAGGGTGGATGGAGATTCTGGAGATGACACTTCTATGGAAACGTCACGTTTCATAAAGAAGAGCTTCGCGGAAAGAGGTCAATGGTGTTTCTATTGGAAACTCTTCTTTCTGGGATGAATGGCATTTTGATGTGCTTTTGTGACACTTTGTAATGTATACAACTACTTTTTCCCTGACTTTTTGCCAAAGCCAGGAGCTGAATGGAAAATATAAAAAATCAGAAATTCCTTTGGAAGATTTATCAAATGAGGCTTATGATCTGATTTAATTCTAGATTCTGAAAGCACACTTCCATAATATGAAGATTCTAGAAGGTGCAGAGAAAGAAAACTATGTGGCTCAGACTCTTCTAAAACGGAAAGGTTGACTTCACTTGGAAAGATCATTAAAACGCAGAGAAACTCGAAAAGAAGTGCTTCGAATGTTCGATCCGGAAATTGCTGGCGTTTGAAAAAGACAGCACAAGGGCGTTTTGTGGGCCGAAAAATGGCGAATAGGTGGGGGAGGAAACGAAAAAAATTGGAGGCTCAATTAAAGTACGACGTAGAAAAAAAAAAAGAGAAAGAAGAAGAAGAAGAAGAAGAAGTTGATTTGCTTCTTTGGAAGATGTTTGGAATTTCAGTGTGTAATAACTCTAAAATTTTAGTATTCGGAAGTAATTAAAAGTTTGAATTTTGAGTTTTTTAGGCAATGAAAAGGAAATTCCTTTGAACATTTCAACATTTTGACAGCCAGACAACAATTTTACCTTGAAATCTGGATAGCTGAGAAAATTGAACAGGTACTTGATATTTTACAGTGTCACTGGAAGCCCTCTAGGAAGCTCTAGAGGATGGCGTCCAATGATCCGGACTGATAAAAAACGGGGAGACATAGGCATCTTGGAAGCCCGAAAATTGGTAGAAATAAAATTTAATAGCTCAAAGTTAATAAAATGGTTTGAAACTTGTTCAATTTACAGATGATTTCTTTGAATTTGTGCATTCCAAAATACAGTCCAGTGCGAAGCTTTTCTCAAATGTTATGACACTACAAACTTGCGTCTGTTTAATCCGGCTCATTGGGGGGTTTAGGCGCTATAAGAGTTGTAGTGAACAAGAATACAAGAAACCTAATTTTGCATAATTTTCTGAAAGTAAATACAGGTTAAAATCAGAAATTGTTTGAAAAGTTAAAAAGTCAGTTACCACGAGAGTGCTCAAAAAAGAAAGTTTTGTGCTCATCGAATATCATCATTTATAGTTGAGAGGACAGCGCGCGAGGGCAAAAAATGAAGAGAGAACTACGAGAAGTAAAGGAAAAGATGAAGAGGAGCAGTACTTCATAATAGACATAATATAATTGCTCAGCGGCTCGAAAAATGACGGGGCAACGATGAAAATACATGGAAGGAAAAAGAAGAAGTGAATGAATTGTTGTGAGTACTACTTCTTCTCTATTATGAGTCAAACACTGTTAGTGGAGGCGGTGGTTACTTTGGAATTTCAAAAAAAAAACCTTTGGAAATTATGTACAAGGGTTTTGTGAATAAGATATGAGCGAAGGCGGAAGGAAAATCTAATCAAAAGAAAAAGAAGATAAAAGAATTCTTAGATATCGCTCGTTTTATTTCATTTTTATGTTCTCTATAAGAAATTCAGATGAAATAAAAATGCACTTTCGTGTCAGAAAGAGAGAAAGAGAGAGAGAAAGTTTACTATCCTAGACCTGAATATAAAGTAAATCCTAGACCTGAATATATAAATCCTAGACCTGAATATAAAGTGTCAAACTAGAGTCGAAGATAAATTCTATCCGAGATTTAAAAGCTAGAACTTTTTTGATTAGTACCGGTTGGGCAAAACTACTTTTTCTGAATATGTGACGCTCTAAATTCGAAGCATGAATAGAAAAAGTATGTGCTCTGTCACGTGAAACAAGAATTCCCAGGAGAAATTGAAAAAAGAGCAAGAGTTGTTTTCTCTCTCGTTTGTGGCCAACTTTATCAATTGAGATAACCCAATGAGCCGGACGCACAGAACTCTTTTTCTTCTCTTCTTTTCATTTTCTATCAGGTCTCTTCTACTGGACAGGGAGAAAGAGAACAGATGTTAAATCAATTTTACTTGAAAAAAAATAGTTGAAACCCATTAAAATTTAATGAAAGGTAGGAGAAGAGATAAAAGAATTTGAAAAGAAAAACAATTACACACTGGATGGATTTTCTTTCATCAAAACAACAAACTACAAAACTAGTAGTCTGCTTTCTAATCCACTTTTTTGAAAGAAATCAGAAACCAAAGAAATTGAAGTTTTCCTTTCTGAAAGAAGTTTCGGAAGTATAATTGAGGTTGTTAATCGAATTGAGCCGTCGACTCCATTAATTTTTTTTCCTTCCGGGAACCAGAAAACATTATTTCTTGAAAATAAGGAGAACTATGGAAATATGGGATCTGGAGGTTTTTCATGGAACATAAGAGTCTAACTTACCGTATTTGCTCTAGTAGCAGCCCCATGTACTGCAATTTTGAGCTCACTTATCTCAGATCCTATCAGAGATATAAAAAATCTGCCAATTGATAAAATGTTAGTGATATTATGATAAACAATTTACCAGTTGACTATTTTTCCATATCTTTTGGAATAACCAAGATAAAGGTGATCAAAGTTAAAAGTTAGGGGCCTTTCTATGACAGGTTTTACGGTAGTTAGAATCACTGCCTGAACAATAGCCCAAAGATTCAGATGAGATATTCAAAGAAGTCTGAAACACTAAACTCACTTTTGCCAACATTCTCAACCGATGCTCTGTACGAGACGGACGAGTAGTAGTCGTCGAGAAGACGTTGTTGTCCTCGTCAATGTTATGAATTGGGCAGTTTGTAATATCTTCCAATGCTGCGTGATCAGCCATTCTTGCTGAAGAAATCATTGGAATACTCATAGAAGAAGGAACACGGTAGATTCGGAACATTTCAAAAAAACACACACACACAAACTGAGGAATACATGCAATGTAGATGTTTTTAGAGGAAGTGAACCAGTTTTCGCATGAATTCACATTTTTAGTTTTGAGATGAACGGGAAAAAATTGAGATGTTTGTGTTGTTTCAGGAAAAATAACAAGTTCATCATACTGGATAAGAGAAATAAGGTTTCTGATCATCTGGTACAAAAAATAGAAGCTGTGGAAGGGAAACGATGGCGGCCGTGGCCGAAAATCCCACAACAACAACTACCGTAACCTATTTTTTCGGATTTATTATCTCGATTTCCGTGCATTTTTAGCCAATTTTTTCACTGAACAATAATAGAAAACTCGACCAAACGCAGCAAAAATGGAGTGAATAAATCCGGAAAAAAATTAGGTTACAGTAGTTGTCAATGTGGGACCTTTGGCCATAGCTCCAACTTTCTGTACCAGAATAATTTAAGGGTTTTATATGAAAAGTAAATAAATGGTCAATTGAGATTCTTATAGTTAGGTTTGCTCTGTTTTCTCACTTCCTTACAACCAAAATATCCGGAAAAACACATTTCAATGCGTAGTATGAACTTGTTTCAGACACAAAGAATAGGATTAAAATTATAAATAAAAATACTCGTATCCTGTTTTTAGTTATTCATGAATTCAAGAATTCAGAAGGCGAAAGAAGGAAGACGTGACAAATAAAAGAGGGAAAAAAGTCGTCGTGCTGTTTGTGAAGATTCAGTCAAGGGAAAAGAGCAAATTTCGAATTGTGAATTTGAGAGTGGAAAGAGAGAAGGAGGACTCCTTGCGGTACTAAAATAGGGGGCAAAGGGATATCAGATTTTGGAAAAAAAAACTCAAGTGCTTGGTCAAGCAAGAAAAGGGAAACGAGGGGTCAAATGATTGAGGTGAATGAGAAAACGAACATTTATCTGGCTCAATCATTAGTTTTCTTGTTCTTTGATTCTCTCTTTTGAAAACGAATCCAAGAATTTTGGCACTAGGAAAACTTGGTAATTCAGTTATAGAAGGAAGAATTTGTACAAATAATAGTTGGGGCGAGCAAGAAAGCCAGGGATTGTCCGCTTGGAATCTTTTGGAGCCACAGGAAAATTTGTGCATGGAGTTTTGCAAAAACAGGACCTTAAAATAAAACTGGAATATCTTTTCTAAATTTTGAAAAATTCGAAATCTCATTGGGTCTTTGGTTTAAAGACTACTCCAGCTATTTTGACTTGTTTTTGTATTCTCGAATTTCTGAATTGTTTGGAATTAAAAAAAAAATATTTAGGAACTTCAAAATCTCAGAATCTCAGAATCTCAGAATTTCAGAATTTCAGAATCTCAAGATCTCAGGATTTCGGAATTTCTGGATTCCAGTATTTTAGAATTTCAGAATTTCAATATTTCAGGATTTAAGAATTTCAGAATTTCAGAATTTCAGGATTTCAGTGAGAGACCTAGGACTTTCCGGAGTTTTTCAGCTTTTATCTCCGGCACCTAAAAAAAACCTTTAAAAACCACTGTCAGCAACTTGAAAAAAAGCGTCCCGTCGCCCTGGCATAGGTTTCTCACTGCACCGGAATTCAAATCCTCGTCCCTATTCAGCACCTTCTTAAGCAAAATTTTCATTTTCAACGGAGTTTTTAGATCTCGAATTTTTACTGGAATTTGTTCGCAATAATATTAGAAAATTAGATAGAATGGAAGACATTTTGATTCAATGAAATATTTTGGTCGGAATCTCTCTTTCAACTATTTCCGGCGAAAGGTCGAATCATGAAGCATTTTGGTCTACTGTATCCAAAAAATGATAACCCAAATTCAGAATCAAATGTCCTAACTAAGTCGGTTTGATCTTTTCTGATACTCAGAATTACTCTCACAAGAGTAGAGACCAAACATCCACTGCGAATAAAAAAAAAGGTGCTCAAACGAAAGCGAAAAGAATCCAAATGGGGGAAAAAAGGGGTATTCGTCAGATCGAATCCCCTGATATCTCGTCCATCCATTTGCGCCTCTGTTTGTGCTCAACGAGCACCCATGAATATTACAATGGGGAAGAAGCTGTTTCGGGTGTTGGCCTCCAAAACTTTCGACACATCATTCGTCTTTTCACCAAAACGATGCGTGGGGGAATGCAGCTGGGAGCTTCATGTGAGGGAAAAAAGGAGGAGGAGAAAGAAAAATCTCGATGCATTACTTAAAACAAAAAGACAAAAAACTGCTGGTACTTACGATGCTCTGGGGGGTAATTCTGAATAGATTCGTTTGTTCACACAAAAGTTTCTGAGAGTGGGAAAGAAAAGTTTGTTCATTCTGAAAACCGAAACAAGAACAAAAAGAGAAACAATGGATATAAAAAACTCAAAAACTACAGCTACTATTCAGAAAGTGTGAGAACAATTATAATTCGTCGAGCTTGTCTTGACGCGTTGGTTTCAGAGGATACCTCTTCCAAGTGAACGATTTGTCGGTTTCATAGGAATGTTCAAAATGAGATGGTTCGTTGAGGGTGAGACCTTCCTCCTGGAGAGCTTTGAAGAAATAGGTTTGCTGAAAACATGTATATATTTATACAAAATTACTATTGAATTTTCGAAAAACAACACAAAAATCGTTATTTATTTTTGAAACTTACATGTTGACTCTTCTCAATGGCTTCTTTCGTGGCACCAGGCATTGCGAAGTGGATTCCCGATTGAAGACAACGAAGAGCTAAAACTCTACCAATGTTCAAGGCAGCTGAGGTGTCCGTTTTACTGTACAGTTGATTAGCAATGGATGGTTCTTTTGTAGAAGCCCTGACAACAACTCCATCCTGATAGTGAACTAGACGACCCTCTCGATGCGATTTCCCTTCCACTAATTCTACCCTGAGTCAAAACTATATGCATTGAACGGCTGCAACCAGTACTTACTTGTAAATATAACTCCGAGAAGCTCTGTCCTTCTCAAATTGATATCCTGTGTTTGCTGCTTGTCTACCCATAAGCTCATTGTTTCGCGGATTTCGATTGACGAAGTTTTTGACGAATCGAGACGCCATTCTGAAACTTGTGCAAATAAAACGTTCTGTCTACGAAACTTGAAATAAGCAGAAGAGTTTTGAGAAGTATTAGAATAAGACAATCACATAGACAAAACCTTTTCAGAATGAATTAGAAGGAAACTCACAAACCGTTTTGGAACAGGAAACTCGAAAAAAGAGCAAACAAAAGAAAACATTTGGGTGGCCGAACAAAAAAGTGAATGGTAAACTAGTCCTCCGCTCGTGTACTCCTCGCGGACAATGTTTGCACTCACGCGGATTTTTTTTTGATTAGCTTTCTAACCATTTTTCTAGATTTATGACCCAATTCGAATAATATTTCGGCTTATAAATAGTCTTTTGCAGGACAAAATAAATAAAAATGCGATCCCGGAGCGGCTCCGGGGTTCGCCTCGATCGCATTCTGTTCATGGTGGAACAGACAATTTGTAGCCACCAGAACCCAATCACCGCGCTGTTCGCAAATCAGAAAGATTTTCCAGGTACCCAAAATTATAATCTAGCATATTCTATCGAAAAAGTATACTTTCAGGTCATGCGTGGGTCCGTGACAATGTCTATATCGCTCAAGCTCTGTGGGCTCTTTATCGAGCATACATGAAGTGTGCAGACTTTGATGAAGATCTAACGAAGGCAAAAGAATTAGGATTCACATGGTGAGTTATATTTAACCGATATATTTTTTGATAAAACTCTCCTTCAGCGTAAAAATGATGCAGTCCATCTTGGAATGCTTGATGCGACAAGCAGACAAATTGGAGCAATTCAAGAAGTACCAACGCCCTCTCGATGCCTTACACTCTAAATACGCTGTCGCTACAAAAGGGACTGTTTGTGGAGATGCTGACTGGGGACATCTTCAAATGGATGCGATTTCACTATACCTTCTCACACTTGCTCAAATCACAGCATCTGGTCTCCAAGTTGTCAGAAACTTCGATGAAGTGGCATTCATTCAAAATTTGGTTTACTACATCGAAACTGGATACAGAACACCTGTGAGTTATTTTAAGTGAATCCTTTGAGTATTCTCTTTTTTAAAGGATTACGGAGTCTGGGAACGTGGAGACAAAACCAATCAAGGAATTCGTGAACTGAATGCTTCATCCATCGGAATGGTTAAAGCAGCTCTGCAAGCTCTCAATGATGTCGGAGATCTCTTTGTAGATGGATCACGAGGATCAGTGGTTCATGTTCTTCCCGATGAAATTGAACAATGCTCTGCGGTTCTTTCCAGTATGCTTCCGAGAGAGTCATTCAGTAAAGTAAGCTCTGAAAATAAAGTTATCGTTAAAATGGTAGTTTCTTTATAGGAAACGGATGCTGCACTTCTTGGAATTATCAGCTATCCAGCATTCTGTGTTGAAGACCCAGAATTGGTAGCTCAAACGAGGGAAACTATCACTCATAGGTTGTTAGGAAAGTACGGATGCCGCCGATTCATGCGTGATGGTTACAAGACTGTTCTAGAAGTGAGTTAATCTCTGTAAACGTCCCTGTTAATTCTCATTTCAGGATGGTTCTCGTCTTTACTACAACAAATCAGAACTCCAACAATTTGAAGATATTGAATGCGAATGGCCCATTTTTCTGTGCTATCTAATTTTAGATGCTATGTATTCGAAAGACGATGAGGCCGTGGAAGCTTATTGGCAGCAACTAGAAAGTGTTTTAGTTTTGAGTGACAAGGGATTCCGCCTTGTCCCAGAGCTCTATGTAGTTCTCAGGGAACATGTATCCGCCGAGAAAGCACATCCTAGCACACAGCCTCGTGTTCCTGGTGGAGCAACGTAAGTTTACTACGAATTCTCAATCCAGTCCACTTATTCTAAATTTCAGACCATTCCTTTGGGCCCAATCATTGTATGTGATTATCTGTTTGCTTTATGAAGGATTTCTTCTTCCCGCTGAACTTGATCCTCTCAGTAGACGTCTATCTGTTTACGAGAAGAGACCTCCATGTGAGGTTCAAGTGACAGTTTTAGCTGAATCGGCCGATGTTCAACGAGAACTTCGCGCCCACGATATTCATGTGCAACGTGTAGATGAGATCGATCCAGTTTTTACGATTCTCCCAGCATCCGCTCTTGGACACTTATTGGAAAAGTGAGTGAATTCAAACAAGTTATTGAAGAATCTAGTTGCTTTTCCAGAATTGGCGAATCCAAGAAGCTGAATCTTTCCGGAAGACCGCTAGATCGCCCAATCGGCTTGTTGAGTACCAGTCGTCTGTACCAAATAGGAAACAAATTCGTCATTTTTACTCCCCAATTCATGGACTCCCGACGTTCTCATCTGATGTACGATATTCGAATTCTAACAGACGAATGGAGCAGTGAGCTACAGTATATTTATGCATCATGGAATAGTGTCAGCATCAGTGGAAGGCCACTTGTTGTTCTGGTTATCACTCAAGGAATGCTTTCGACTGTAAGTGAAATGGTCCCGCTCAGAAAAACATAAATCTGAAATTTCAGGAAGGACTTTCGCACTTTTCAAATATTCATCTGAATCGTCATATGAAGTCTACTGTAATCGGAGCTATCAAGAAAATCAACACTGGATATTTGAGTGGAGCTCGGTAAGAATGGTTATCTTGTATCAAACGTTTATTTGGGTTGCAAGTGATTGCAGAGTGGTTATGAAGGATTTGTCAGACTTCTTCCGTACGACGGCAGTCAGTAAAATGGAATTCCGGGATAAGAAGGCCGAGGAGATGTTGAGAAGTGTGGCAGCTGAAAAAGTGCAATTCACATTACTAACAGAAGATGCAACAGAAGCGAAAAGTAAGTTCGCGCTTTTTTCTAACTTTTGACAACCCTTTCGAGGATCTTTAGGTGAAAAAATGGCTTCACCACGAGGCCCAAGAACACTGAAACGTGGAGAATCCGTGAAGGATAGAAGCGCCTACTCACTGATTCATAAAGCGTCTATGAGACATCGCTCGATTGCGCTCGACAGCAATGATGCGGATCTCATCCAACTCCGTTTGGCTTACAAGTCTCGACCAAGAGATCTTCATGAAATGGATTCACCTCGACAGTCGCCACCTCTCGGACAGAAGCCACTTGGTCTGGTCAAAGAACACAGTTCTGGAGAATTACGACAGCAATTGCTGAAGACTACAAGACGTGGAGCAGAAAATGAAACAGCTCACAGAGATCTGAAAACGGAGCAGATCATGGAAATGAAAGCAGACGATTTGTTGGATCTTTTGAATGAAACAACAGTTCTTGAAGAACAAATTTCGATCGTTCACTGCTTGTGGATGAAATTGTAGGTTTTCTTCTTCATTCACAAAAAACAAATAATAATTTCAGTGGACCAGACTATGACACAGAACTAGGTTGCCAGCATATCACAGTTCGAATGTTGATGGAAGAAGTGCACACCAAGGCATGCGAAGCTCGTGAATGGGCGCTTGTCAGATTGACAGCTGGTCTTCTCAAAAAACAGCTTGAAGAACTGAGCAAAGCTGTAACACATCTTCTTGTCCGGCAGAAACAAATAACGGTAAGGAATTAATTTCATTTATAAATTAAGAGTTTTCTTAAAATACAGGTTGGAATGGCTTCGAAAAAAGAGGAAGTGATCACTTGCCCTAAAACGAATGAAGAACTTGAGAAGATTATGAATCGTGCTTACGGTGATGATGCGAACTCATTCACACTCGCACAAGAAATCATCGTGTATTTGGGATCTCTTGTTCGCACCGAGCCAAAACTCTTTCTTGAAATGTTCCGACTGCGGATCGGTCTTATCATCCAGGTTCTCGCCTCCGAACTCGCACGTCTTCGGAATCTGTCTGGAACAGAGGCAGCTGAAACTTTGTTAACCGTATCACCTTTTGAACTCAAATCAATGATATTCTCATTGCTTTCTGGACGACTCCTTGAAGAATACGCTGAAGATGGATTCCATTATGGAGACACCATCCGAGAAACTCGAACTGGAATCGGATCATTCCGACGACAAATTGAAGAACGTAAATCTCTTAGAAAATCGACTAGAAGTGTGGGTGGATTAGATATTCCCAAGGAAGAAGACGAAGAAGACGAAGCGGATGAGGATGATTTCCAATTTGGAATATGGTTGAGACATCGTCGAATTGATGGTGCTTTGAACAGAGTTCCAAATGGTTTCTATGCAATCTTATGGGATACTGTACATAAAATGCCACATGGTGTGAAGATCAACGACACGATTCTTCATTGGGGACTCACCCAGGAAATGACAAGAAAGGAAATTAAGTTTGCATTGGAAGTCGAGGAAGCTCTCAATAGAATAGCAGAACCGGAATATCGAGAACTTGTAGTGGAGACGCTATGGCTTTTGGGAAGACTTGAGAAGTTGGTGCTCCTTGAGCAGCCCAATATTCCTAGAGATAGACCATTGGATGTGGACCACATTCTACATGTTGCTAATCAAATTTTCGTAAATCATAATGTGAGTAGACATTTTACAGTACACGCTCTCCCACAGAAAAGTTTTGAACTGCAAAATTATTTTTGATCTACCTGAAAAATTTGGTGTGTTCCTCTCTCAGTTTTCAACATTACTAGGAGTTCTATAGCTCAAAAGAACCGCAAAACTGTGTTCTTCAATTCGTATAGAAAACATTTCTGGTTTTCCTGGTAAAACTTTTTTAGAATCAAAAAACATGTGAAAAATGCGATTTCGTGAGGTTTTTTCATTCTAAAAAAAGTTTTACCAGGAAGACCAGAAATGTTTTCTATACGAATGGAAG